TCTGAAGGAGTCTGTAAAGGCTCGCAACAAGAAGCTGACCCTGGACATGCAGAGTGCTTTATTAGATAGCTCCGTTACTCTGTCCCCGGTGGACTCTCTGGACTCACCCCACGGGGGAGCTAGCAATGCTGGCTACATTACCAATCCGACGTCACCTGTGGCCATGCAGTCACCAGCTCTTTTCCATTCCTCAATGTCTGTCCCAAACACTCCAATGGTACACAGTAGCATGTTGGAAGGAGGGGGCCCGTTTGCAGTATCGCTTGCCCAAATTAATGACATTGGAGCTGGAGGAATGTCATTGCAGGGTCGTGTCTCTATGGCTTCAGATGTCAACCATAGCTATGTGCTGAGCTCTGGCCAGCTTGGGGTCAATATGGGTATGGTCAGTCCTGTCAGTGTGCCATTCGATTGGCACAGCCATATGCCTCCATCCTCTCAGTGCAGTCAGCAGGTTGTGAATATCGTGCAGAGTAGCCAAGCAGGTATGCATGTCCAGAGCCCTGCCATGCAGCAGCAGAACATGCTGATGCACCAACAGCAGCTCTACCGCAGTCCAATGCTGCAGCCCACACCTGTTACCTCCACACCCACCATCAGCCCAGTAAAGCTGCCTTCCATTGCAGAACAACAGCAGCTTATTAATCACAACATCACCAACCAGCCAAGCATGGCTCCCATGGGCACCTCCACTCCACCAACACCACAGACCTCGCAGCCTCCACCATCATTCTTCCAGCAGCAACAGCAGCAGCTGCCCCAGCAGTCCTCTCAGCCTCCTCCTCAGCCCACCCAAGGAGCAGCGCCACCAGCCCAGCCAGCTCAGGCCCTTTCCTCCCAGCCAAGTGGCAGCGCTGCAGGAAATGAGGATTATCCAACCCCTCCTTCCCAACACAGCTATTCATCCACGTTAGATGCAACACCCAAGCATTTCCACAATTTGCCCAGTGAACACCCTTATCTCACCCCTTCTCCAGAGTCTCCAGAGCACTGGTCCAGTCCTTCTCCCCACTGTGTCTCTGATTGGTCCGATTCCACACCAAGTCCAGCCGTTGCTGTCCCTAACCAGACCCAAATTACTCAAATCCCAGAGGCCAATGGCAAGATGCAGGTGTTTGCATGAAGATCATTTGGACATGACCTGAAAAGGGACCTGGGTTACAAAGAGTTTTTAGACTGACTTTTGGGTCTGTCTGTGTTTTATCTGTCAGCATGTTTCCAAGATTTTCTTTGGATTTGTGCAGACAATGTGTATAAGAGGACCGTCTGCTGCTGAACACGGCAGAGAAAAAATAAGTAAAGGGAAATGTGTGTTGTCTGAAAAAACTGCAGACAATTTAATGAAGTAATTCTGTCACAGATGGACTATTTTTTATTATAAAAAAAAATATATGAAGAAAACCAAGCCTTTAATTATAAAGACTTGGGAAAACTCTCCGGAAAACTAACAAACATTTAAAAAGTAGAACAGAGAAAAGTGAAATGTTGAAGGGAATTTGTTTATTTTTATTTATTGTTTTTATCTATCTGAACTGCCCTTTAGTTTTAATTCTGTTCTAGCCTCTTATATAAACTGCCATCATAATGGTTCTAGCAACTACTTTCCATAAATTGCTCTGCAGTAGTTATGTTCAAGTTATGGTAAATATTTACTTTCTATATGAGTGTTGTGAACAAGAATGTAGATAAGTGTCTTTAAAGCACTTCAACTGACCAGCCTTAAAGGGCAAGTCTTTGTCAAATACAACATTTGGCATCATTGGATATTTATAATATAAAGGGCATTTAATCGCTGTGAATTTTACATATAATCTTTAAAAAGAAAATCTGAGAAAATATTAAGTGTGATGCATCTATTTTATATAACTATTCACTGATGCTAGAGTATTTGCTGACAGTTTTACTGCCGAATTTATTACTTTTAGTTTTTAAGTGTTTGTTTTTATTTATGTTTCACAAAAAAAAAAAGTTTGGCCTTTAAAAATCAGCTTTTCACTGCCCTTACATTATATTTTTTTATTGTTTTATACTCTTGTTTGTGGAAAAGCATAATTACCTTTTTCTTTGTTAAACATCACTTCAGATGTATTAAGCTATGCTTATATCCGCTGCTATTTTTTTATCACTCTTCCCTGCAAACATTCCTCCATTGTTCTTGTCTTGTCTTTTTAGAATGGCTGCCTTAAAATGACACCGAACTAGACAAAACACCCGTTGAAATGGCTGACCCGGTAACCTAAATTGGACTGTTGCAGCTGAGATCTGAGAAATTGGGAGTGGTGATTTGTGTGAGGGTGGGGCTGCTGGACTGTGACTGCTGATGCCTTGTCACTCCTCAGGGAGGCATTATTATGGCATGCAGAGGAATGATCCCCTTGCATCTACAGTAGATACCACATCCAGGGCCCATGAAGTTGTGTGGTAGTACAATATGAATGACAGTGGGAATAAAACACTACTATGTAGTGTTTTTGTCTTTGCATAGTTCTAAGAGGAAACTCAGAGTCACTTAGTTAACACTTGTATTATGTCTGAATGAGTATTTTGTTTTTATGTAACCTGGGCATGTAGAATGTGGGGGGGCACCTTCCTATAACATACTATGTTCATTTCAGACTTCTTTAATGATAGCATTCTCAAACAAACATGTTTTCCTTTTCATTTCATGCTTATGAGCAGAGAAGAATTAGCCCACCACTTCTAGTTATCAGTTTACAGTAACATTGCCTAAAAACTGCCTTTAGTTGAATTATCCACCGAGTTTATCTGGGTTTTCTTTTGTTGCCTTGTTCATTATGGGACCGGGTTCTGTTCCCTCAGACCTGGGAAAGAGTGGCCCAGTTTGAATCGCATTTGGAGGTGAAAAGGTTTATTTTTCTTTGCTCTAATTTGTTTTTACCACTGGTCTTAAACTTTCTCTGCCAGGTCGCACTAAGTGTTTTGTACATTCACCATTTCAGTCACAGAATTTCATTTACAAACTGTAAATATGTTTTGGGTAGATCGTTGCTTAAGAAGTCTTATTTTCCTAAAGTGATTGTTATGTACTAAAAAGAGAAATAAAGTGTATTTCATTTAGCATTATTTGAATGTGAGACTAATTCATATTTTTTTTTTTTTGCAAACTTGTTACATCAGCACATGTATGGTTTCCTTTTGACAAACTTAAACCTGTAGTAGTTTGTAGATATAAAGGCTGTCCTTACAAAACAATGTTAAGGTGTGGTGAGCAGAATTTATAAGCAGTCCGTTATCAGCTGGTTTAATCTTCAGAGGTAATTGTCCAACCTTTCTTTGTGCCTCAGATAGCTTCAGATAAGCGGCTTAAACCTGTTTTCTTTCAATTTTATAATAGATGTAACAGATAAAGATTTGCCTCCTTCAACAGACTGTGAAATACAGTGAATTTATTTTTTGTGAGAAAAACGGCAGGTAGCGAAAACAAGAAATTATAGAAACTGGTCTATATTTAAGCTCAGATTGAAAATAGTCCAAATGAAAATAAAAATCATGTTTTAACACATTTAGGACTGACTGTGTGGATCCAACATTGCAAACGAAAATGTTCTTTCTGTACAAGAAGAATAAATGTTTGGTAATGAAAAGAATTTGTTTTTTTAGAAACAGATGGGGTTATCAATAGTGCATTTAATCATATTTATTTATCTTTATTTTAATAATTTGAAATAACATCTGATTTTAATTTACAAGATTTCCCCCTGGGAATTTGATCATATGGTATAACAGTTGTTCCTTATGACGGAGTAATAGAGCCAGGCTAGTATTTAAAAAAAATAAAAATAGATAAAGTCATTATGAGACATTATGAGAGTAATGTAACATTATAAAGTCATACTCTTATTAGAATAAAGTGATAATAATAATAAAGTCACAATATCAGAATAAAGTAATAAAATGATGAGAATAAAGTTGCAACATATATGACGGTCAACCAGCACCATCAAAAAACAGCAACCTAAATCCACTTTGCCTTCATATTTCCTTATTTGTGAAACCGATGCCAAAGTATAACTTCACAAGATGCTTGACATTCCTCATTTTAGGGAGGACTGACTTCTTGTAAGAGTTGTCATAAAATATAACTTTATTCTCATAATTGTATGACTTTGTTCTCGTAATTTTATGACTTTATTGTCGGAATTTTATGACTTTCTTGTAATGTTACCATTTTATTCTTGTAATATTATGACTTTATTCTCATAATATTTTGACTTTATGATAATTTTGCAACTTAATTCTCCTAATATTATGAATTTAATCTCATAATATTACGACTTTATAATGTTACATTATTCTCATAATGTTATGACTACTCTCGTGTATATATATAAAAAAAAGAAAATCTCTAGCCTGTATTTAGATGTTAAATACTCAAGTACATAGCAAACATTTATACTTCCATAAATGATAAGCTGATGTTAATATATAATTAATTAATATAAAAACAAAGCCTCTAACAGTTCAGGTTTTTAAAAGGATAGAAGTTCTTGCATTTTATGCATCAGGCCCTTAAGAAAAAAATGAGCTATGTCTGTCACAACTAAAGTCAAAATAATTTACTAAGGGGGAAAAAACGAGCACAAAAAATGCCTTTTATAAAAGATAAATAAATCCTTATTTAAGAAGCAGTAGTGCTATTAATGCTTTTCATGGTTTATGAGAGACAAAGTTTTAAATTTGCAAAAAGATGTCGAACGAAAAAAAAAATCTGAGTAACCACAGTTGAAATAAATAGCTTTTTGATCCCTCCCCTCCTATGCAACATTTGCCAGCTGGGTCTGCACGCTTCACTGCAGTCATGGGCATCTAAAGCCGGTTGGTCTGGTGGAGCAGAGGAGGCTCCTTGGCTGTATTTGCTTTATGCATTTGCTAAACAGAGCAAAAAGAATATTTGATATCAGTAGGTCTTTTCTTAATACATTTAAGCTAAAAAGTATGTTTGTCATTTCTAAAACTAACGATTTAAACAAAACGTTGCCTCAGTCACTTCCCTGAGGCATCTGGCCTAATGCTGTGAAGACCTTTTAAGAGTACAGCAGATAGATGTCATGGAAGATCTCAGCAGTCCCACATATCTATGTTCTTGTCTTTCATTTTTCTTTCATATTTAGTCATCACAGGACCAGGTTCCACCAGCGTAGTGCTTGGGAAAAAAAATATGTAAATCCACTACCAGGAATTATGTTAAACTGAAAAAAGACTATTTGATAACTGAAGGTTTACTTGTGCCTGGCTGCAGTGTTTTAAGATGCTTTATTGTTCACTTGATGTTACATTTCAATGCTCTTGCAACCAGACTTTCACAAAATCCTTCCACAGCAAAGTTGGACGCAGAGTAGACATCACTGAACAGAGGTCCTTTGTGGAAACATTAGGCGAGTTAATAACAGCAGAAGAAGTGTTTTTTTAACTACTATGTCTGAAATTCTATTCAGTCAAACAAAACAAACCTTGTATTCCCACGACACTGCTCATCACCACAGTATGGCCGTCCTGCCTTTGCTTCATGTCTGGCAGCACCTCTTTCACCAACCGCATTAGGCTAAAAAGGTTGACGTCAAAGAGCTCCTTCATTGCAGCAACTTTGGCACTTGAAGGGTCCAAACCTGCCGATGCCAGCTTTGCTCACTACAGCTGCACAATGGTCTCTTTCAATCATCTGTTCTTGTGAATTCAAATGTACTTTGAACATGGTGCAAAGAAAACAGATCAGGGATATCCACTTGGCTGTTGGGGAGACAGTTGATGCACTCTTTGATGAATTCCTCACAGTAGACATCAAACTTTTGGATCACTGGGATTTTAGTAAATGCAGAACCTGCAGCCTTTTTAGTGGGTTACGTTTCTCAAGATCCCTCATTGTGGAAACTACTGGCTCAGAGAAAGACAAATAAACAGGATGTCATTAATATCTAATTTTATATTCTTATTACTGTAGTGGATATTTTAGGTGCAGTGAGGACAACTTCAAGTTCTGACCTTTAAAGTGTTTGGTCACATTGTTGGCCAAGCGTACTGCCACAGCCAAGCCAATACCAGAGGAGCAACCTGCCACCAACACTCTGCTGGTCCCCATGGTGCAAGTGTTGAACCTTAATTATCTGATTAAAGTTGGGTGAAATATAAAAGCACTAACATCAGCCCAGTGCAAGACATGCATATTTACAATATGCATTTGTTTAAAGATTTAATGGGAAAAGCACGAGAAAACCATAAGAACCATAAAGTTTAGGTGCTTGTAAAAAGGAGAATCAGTAACACTCTTGGTTCTTAAGTAAAAAAAGTCCAAATAATAATAAAAGTGAAAACTGCTTATATCTGAATACTGCTCTTCCACACTGATCCAAGCATTCTGGGTCATGATAGTTTCAGATTAGTGGGGCAATTCCAAATGACCTACCAAAACCTCGTTATTAAAGCTAACCATTTTATAAATAAATCAGACTTTCAATATTCTGTATTATTTTCAAACTGATCTTAATTTGGAGAAGGCATGTACGTTTATTTATATAGCACATTTCAGTGGCAAGACAATACTAAGGGCTCCTCATGAGGAAAAAGAAAAATAATTTTCTGTGGCAGTGATCAAATACAAATAATTGAAGAGCATAAGAATAAATAACTTAAATAAGATGATTATAATATATGAGGATCTGTAAAGGTGGAGTATGCTTCCCCTTGACCTTGGCAGCAGAATACGGACAATAAAAGTAAATGTTCTCCCTAGATTATTATATGTCTTTGCAGCACTCCCAGTAGAGGTCCCAGCAAAACAATTTAGGGAGTGGGATAAGCATATATCCAGATTTATATGGCGTAATAAAAAACCAAGAGAATAATATTCAACCCTTCAGCTGCCAATGGAGCAGGGGGTATAGCCCTGCCTTGCTTAGTGGACTATTGCATGTCATCCCAGATTAGACCCTTAGTGCTGCTGGTGTAATCCAAACTACTATTCTAAATGGAAGAACATCGATCTTTTTCTATATTGCACTTGCCTATATAATCTGTGCTTGGTTGCTTAAACAGGCTTCCTCAAGTATACCAATTCTCTTCATGCTTTCTCTTGGTTTGTCTTGACCATGGATACAGGCTGTGGGCAAAACAGGGAATCACTTCCTTCTGTAAAATAATAAAAAAGGGCATTTAATAAATTACTGGGATTTATGCCAAATTTATGAGATTGGAAGAGGTGATCATTTTCGCTGTCTGCAGGTGCAATTTTTTGAGGGGAAGGGAAATCATGACCCCTGAATTAGTGTTAAATCCAGGGATAAAGCAGCTGTTACTAATACAAAAGGCATCATTGGCAAGCTTTACCGAAATTTCACAACTATGAATAAGAGGTTGACAGATTACATCAGACAGAGGTGGGAAAAGGAAGCCAACATTACAAACTCAGAGGAAGCTTGGTCTCAACTGTGGAAAAACATCTTTTCAACTACTATCTCTTCAGAATGGCAGGATTTTGGCTGGAAGAACCTTTGTTTTTTTACTACACCAAAGCAGAAATCAAGGTTAAGTGGTGCACAGTTGCCCTGCTGGAGAGGGTGACGGATGGTTTCTGCAGATTATGTTCATATTTATTGGTCCTGTCCTAAATTGAAGATCTTTTGGCTCAAAGTTAAGCAAATAAGCTCTGAAACTCTGGATAAAGTATTGGACTTTTCTTTCATCTCCTTGTACCTTGGAAAAATCCCTGAAGGACTCAGTTCAAGTGACACATATTTACTCTGGATTTTCTTTATTGCAAGCAAGAAGGGAATCACCAAATGCTGGCTCCAGTCAGGCCCACCTAACTTGAGGGTCTTCATAAGTATTATAAACTGAATCCACAAAATAGAAACATTGACTGTTTCCATACATATCAAGAAGGAGAAAGGAGAGATACTCTGGGAAAAATTACTTAAAAATTCATAACAATTTATTTTTGTGAATTGGAAAAAACATCTGCCTCCCTGACTGTTGGGTGTATACCCTGCTTCTATGTGGGTTTATATAAAGTTTAAAAATATAGTTTAAAAAAAATGATTATGTTAAAAATGATGATTATGTTAAAAATATTTCTAAATAGCACAATCAAAGGTCACTCTAAACAAATGTAATTATAATCTTGATTTCGGAGCTAAGAACAATAAGCTGTTTTTCCCATGTTTAATTCTGAGTACTCAGAAGTAGGCTTCACCCAGAAGACCTGGGAGATTTGGATCATTGATACACTAGCAACAAGTCTGTAATGTATTTTGGGTGATAAGCTATTCAGTGACACAGATTAAAAGAAGTTTATTAAAGTCTTTTTTGCTGAGAAATGGGTAATGAACAGTGTAAGGATGTTAGAATAGGGGGTGTGCTTGGTTTTGGTGAGGATGCAGGCAGCAGCATTCTGGACCAACTGCAGCTTTCTGACCTCTGAAGGCAACATTGCAGTGATTATATTAGATGAAAGCATTAATTATTTTACCAAGGTCTCAACCAGACATTAGTCTTTTAATCCTGTATATGTTTTTTAGATAGCCTAACGTATTACTGTCTTTCTGCACATAGGTCTGAGTCAATCATTATGCCTCGATTTCAGGTCTGATCGGTGCAATGGTGCAAGAATAAAGAGCTTTTTCTGAATGAGATGCTTATTCGCCACATGTCACTGTATCTGCAACTAGTCACACATCACTAGTATCTGCAAAAATCCTTACACAGCACAGGATGGATATGTAGTAGGTTGTTTGGTTTACTGTAGCCACTTACCTGCAGAGCCTACTGAGCAAACAAAACTGAGTCCAAAATGTTGGGACAGGAAGCTCTGGGATTACACAATCTGGTCATGTCAAGTCCCTTTGGAATTGTAGTTTTTTAGTAGAAAACTACACAAACAAACATTAAGAAACTTAATTCTTTTGTGTTTGTTTTTGTGGCTTTTTTTTATGCAGGAGCTATTTATCTTATTTCTATTATTTTCACCTTATTCAAAATATAAAATTGAGGCTCTGAACCCAACATTAAAACAATAAATACGAATCTATGCCCTCAAAACAATTCTAACTATTTAAGACCATTCCAAATGGGCCTATCTAAATGTATTTAGGAAAATGTATTCAGTGTTGCAACTTTCTGTTTCGCCACTGGGGGGCAGACTTATCTAACTACTTAGCTCTGCAATCACCATGATTGACAGAGTTTAATTAGAGCAGAACGTTTTTATCTGTAACAATTTCCAAATGTTCCAAAGTTTTTCTTACTATCTTAAAAATGCAGATGTTTTATTTTAAGAGCTGCATACAGCTTGAATACAAATGATTTATTGCAGGTATAAAACATTTGGAGTTGCTTGCTTACTACAGAAATTCAATAAAAGTCTTTAAAAACAGCGTACAAATACTGCTATTCATACCGATATATATTTAAATACTTGTTAAATGCTTTAGTAGTTAAGCAACATTTTTATATCAAGTGTAAAGTTTGAAAAATACAAAAACAGCAAAAATCATTGCTCAGTTTAATAGTTAAGCGAATTGTAATTTTTATTGTTGATATCAAAATTAAACCAGGAAAGAAACTAAACTGACTATGCTGCCATATCTAGATGTTTCAAGGTTAATAATAATTAGTTTAAAAATGTGACACCCTCCTCTGTAACCTGATTAAATGATAACAGCCTACTGATTCTTCATGAAGAATTAATATTTACGCCAAATAATAGAATGTGTCAATATATAACAATTTTGAAATGAACAGTGGCTGGCTCCTATCATCATCAATAATTTGAACATACATTATGCTAATCATATCCAAGCATGCTAAAAACATGGTGACTGTTTAGTTTAGTTCATTGTAGCTGACATTATGGACAGTTGTGTAGAAACCAAAATTATATAATTAGATTAGATTAGATTCAACTTTATTGTCATTACACATGTACAGGTACAAGGCAACAAAATGCAGTTTAGGTCTAACCAGAAGTGCAATAGCAACAAGTGCAGGATAAATAATGGTTCCATAAATACAGGACATGGGTATTTCTACTGAATGAGTATAGAGATGAATACTATTATATGGCAACGATTATTGGAGCTTCCTCTTTATCTTGAATAAAAATTGTTCATCATTTGTGTTTAAAAATGTTCTTTTTTGTAATTTTAGGTTTGAATTGTTTTCATATCATATTTGAAAAAAAATGAATAGGTTAACTGTCAGAAATTTCTAAAGAAAACTCTTTTGCATGATCCTACCACCACCTTGTTTGATTGCTGTGCTGTTGAGCTATGAATGCCTTACTTTGAATCCTCAGAACATGCTCCTTTTTGCGTTGGTGTGAGGGATTGCTTTCGAGTCAATAAGTCGATGCAATCAGCAGGTTTTCCTTGGATAGAGAACTTTGAACAGATCTGACTGTTTGATCTGGCTGAATTGTCCCAGTAGAGTGCCTTGAGATGACATGTGTTGCAAGTTGGAGCTATATAAATAAACTAAATTGAATTGAATTGTGGCCAAATAGTACTGCAGAGTAACACAGTGGGTAGAACTGCTGCCTTGCAGCAAGAAGTTACTGGTTTTAATTCCCAGCCTGGGGTCTTTCTGTATAGAGTTTGCATGTTCCCCCTGAGCATGAGTGGGTTCTCTCTGGCTACTCCGGCTTCTTTGCACAGTCCAAAAACATGACAGTTAGATTGATTGGCTTCTCTAAATTCTTCTTAGGTGTGAGTGTGTGTTTGTCTTTGTGTTGCCCTGTGATAGACTGGCGACCTGTCCAGGGTGTACCCCGACACTCACCCATTGACAGCTAGAGATAGGCACCAGCACCCCTCATTGTCCCCCACCAAGGATAAGCATGACAGAAAATGAATGGATGGCCAAAAAGCTTTTTTTTTCTTTTTTTCTTTTTTTTTTTTTACATGGTTTTGGTTTTTAGGTGAGGCTTCTTGGGTTTTGAAAATGTTAAGAATGTTTTTACTGACAGTACCTGTGATGTTTTGTCATTTTCATGATCATGGCAGGCTTCAGTCTTGGTAGTTCCTGAAATGATTCTGAATATTGTAACCAGTTTCCTTTCATCATGAGTTGGTACACTCACGATGATTGTATTTTTTTGTCACACCAATGGGTGACCATGAATAACTAGTAATTCCATTCAATTGTTTGAACTGATCCTTTTATAACCTGTTTTTATTAATGAAAGTGCTCCACAGACCTTCTAGTTTCAATATCAAGTATCTATGCATATTTCTCAAATGATACAAAAATACATACTTTACATGATAATTTTAATCAAAGCAAATTTTTAAGGCTAAATGATTGTTTTGCATTTCATACAAATTAAAAACAAGTGAATTGAGTAATGACTCAGATCTACTGCTCCCTGAAGGCCAGAACAATGTAGTAACTTGCACAACCACTGGACCTTGATGAAACATGTTATGTGACATGATTTATTCTTCTTTGTTTTTGCACTATGAAGATTTCAGCTGTTTCTTGTTTTGAAACACTGGGAGTGTTTCCACTTCTACCCTTTTTCCCAGAGACTGAAGAAAAATCAAACGCGCCTTTGGGGAGGATTATACAACCAATACATATTTAAACCTTAATGCAAATTAAACAGTTTTAAAGACAAATACATCTGTCAGTATAATATTTAGCTTTTTTACTAGAGTCCCACTGAATGCAACGCACTGGTTTGTGCGTCAAAGATTTTAGGTAAGAGTAGTAAAAGTAGCACTCCTTTATTTCTACTCATGTAAAATTAGAAAGTATTCAGCAGTGATGCTCACAAGAAAAAAGATAACGTACAACTACTTTTTTCGAAAATGTTACTCCAGCAAATGTAAGAGTAAATGTATCTAGTTAACACCCAGCTTTGCTTCAAAGTAACAGCAGCAGCTGCTGGTCAATGAATATTGCAGCTTTCTTTGTAGATTCTTTATTCATGATAATTATAAACCTTTTTGTCATTATGTACTTTCTATTATTCTGTTTGTTGCATTATAGTTTTTGTCCACTATACACATGGGCGTAAAAGAACATTCTGTCCGATAGTTAAGATCAGGTGTCCTGCAAAGAATAACAGAGGTATTGAGAGGGTTTTGATGAAAGGTCCTATCAATGTCACTAACTCCCTTGCCTGTTCTATTATTTCTCTTCCAGAACAACGTTTTATTTTCCTTTTGCAAATGAGATTCAAGGAGCTTTTACAACACTTTCAATATAATTAATCACGATGTTAAATGAGAATATCAGAGAACACAAAATGTTCTGTGTTGTTCAGCCAACAGAATTTATTTTTGCCATGGAATAAGGTGTCAAATCCAGCCAGCTATGTCTGCACATTGATGTTTTGACAAAAGGAACAAGAAACAATTTGGTAATAAATAAATTAAGTTGACCATGTACAAAAAAAGAAAACAAAGATCAAATTCAAATATTTTTTTATTGTCTCTCTTTTAAAATTGCCATCCCTATTTCTGAGAAAAAAAAACACAATATATCCGGGAGAATGTAATGTTTTTTTTCCCATTAATCCAAAAAGGCAAGACTTTGCTGCTGAACTGTAACTGGTTTAACTACCTATATCATCCCATGACTGCATAAATGCATATGAAGCAAAGGTCAAAGTTACTGTTGACCTTTATGTCATGTTGCCTGAAGTGAACAAAACACTTTTTTCAATATTAAGAGTTCTTTTGTAATTCACAAACTCTAATAGTAAACTCACATCTGTAAGTTTTTATACCTTTTTTATAGCAATATATATAACATAAAAAACAAGGTTATCTAACATATTAATGAGAAAACAAGTATTCCAACATTCTCCTGTTTCTGGGGAGGTTTCTCATTTGTTTTGCCTCTCTGTTGTCTGGTTTGAACTAAGGGCTTAGGGAGTGGCCTGTTTTCTTTTCATAACCAGAGGAATAAATACTGCCTTTGGGTTACTCTGAGGAGATTCCTGTTTGGGACAGTGATAACTCAACATTGACCCGTCATGTGAGTATACTTTTACCATAGCTTTGTGCATGATGAACTGAAATGTATAAAAGTGGAATTTAGTGAAGAAACAACTCAGCCTTGTGTGTCTCAGGATTTGTCTTACAGGTTTTGTTACTCTAATGTTGATCTTCACAGCTGAGGCTAGAGTTGGGTATGAATATTTCATCCAAATTCTAACTAGTAGATTTATTTCTTTAACTTACCTTATATGTGTATTGGAGTAAAAAAATATAATTTTCGGACTTTACAGAGACTCTTCCCAGCTGAACTTCTGCAGTGAGACAGAACAGTGTCTGCTCTTTGACTCGATTTGCAACTCCACCACATATGAGGTTAGAGGTTTTTTATATATATTTATATAATATTTTTTTATTATTTTTTTATTATTAATTTAGAATTATCCATCCAATACCTATGCAGGTTTATCATTCTACTTGGATTTTAACCACAAATACATTGTTAAATGTATTTAACTGTGTTGTATTGTTTTTTGTTGCTGCTTAAACTAGTTTTTATGTAAAATTTTTACCATTGTTTTCCATATTATAAAGCTTAATTTATCTCTTATGATTGCTGTTGGTACATGGGTACACATGGGGTACACTGGTAACTGCCTCCATTAGTTACTGGAACGGGAACGAAGTGTTTGTGGACTTGACACCAAATAATTGTATTTAATGTTTATATTTTTCAGGTGCGTCATTATGAATCCGTGAAATGGGTTTCAACTGATTACAAAACATTCTCTATGGAGCTCATGATGTTTCCATCCTTCTGGCGACTGTATGGGTACATCACGGGTGAAAACGAGGAAGGTTCGTATGAATATATGAATCTTATTGTTAATTTCTTATGGATACTTTTTTTAAATTAAACTCAGACCAAAACAAAATCATTCTAACAATAAAGGTCCTCACATGACTCATAAACAACAATAAATGGGATAAGATAAATGTAATGTAAAGTGCCCACTTTGATTTCAGTGTCTTTCTCTTAAAAGTTGATTTCCATCTAAAAAAAAAACTATTTGGTAAAGGTTTTTTTTTTTAAACTGAAGAATGATTATAGCTCAATCTAAATCTGTATTTTTGTCAACCCAAATGTCTTTTAGCTATCAGTGATTTCGTACATTTTTTGGTACATCAATTCTGTTTAAGAGTTTGTTTGTCATTTATGCAGGCAAAAAAATCGACATGACTGCACCTGTTCTGATAAAAATCCCTGAAAAGAAAATGTATAAGCAAGGTGTCTTCACGATGAGTTTCTTGCTGCCGGCCGAATATCAGAATAACCCCCCACAACCTACCAACAAAGATGTAAACTTTGTTATGAAATTTGAATATTTTATTTCAGATCTACTTTTAGGACTAATAAATAATGATTAAAAAAAAAAAAAAACTTCTGACTTGCAGGTTTATATCCAAGAGATGCCGGCTATGAATGTATATGTGCGCAGCCATGGAGACATGATGCATACCTTTGCTGATAATAAGCACTGTGAGGAACTCTCCTCTGCTCTTCGCCCAGTGAATGCAAAATATGAAAAGGGGTTCCATTATGGGGCTGGATATAACAGGTAATGAAATAACAAAAAAATAGAAGCCATGTTAGTGTATAACAACTCATAATCGAATATGTCTGTATGGGTTTCCTTGTTTTCTTGCAGACCAAGTTGGAATAAAAAGTGCCACAGTGAAGTCTGGTACGTTGTTGAGGGGGATCCAGTCTGCAACAACAGTGAGGCAGATGATCAAAACCCTGAACCCTAGGAGACATCCTTTGCATAGGCTACTGCAGACAATGCCTCTGTTATAGCTGAGCTTTGCCAAATGTTTAATGTAACCCAAATGTTAAAAAAACAACAAATGCATGTTTTTTGATGATTTTTAATTTAGTGTTTGCCTTTATTTTGGTTGGCAAATAAAGTAGTGTTGTGCAGAAGCTATTCTGTTTATTTATGGGTTTTTGAGTAATTAATCTTTTTAGACATACTACAAAAGAAAACGGGGAAGGTAAAGTGAAGTAGAGCTTTGCACATTCAAACCAGGAGATGGCACTAATTAGGTTAAATGAGTGAACTGAATACCATGAAACAGTTGAAACAGTTTTTTATATAAGCAGGCTATTTCATGCTAAATATTTAGTTTAAGAAATACAAACTGAAAACTTAGTTTGCAATGTTATATAATATTTAAAAGTTGGCCAACTATCAAGACATCAAGAAGGATTTGGCAAGATGAATGGCCATTGGTCGGCAGCTTAACACAAGAGTAGAGACAATTAAAATAAATATTTTACCACAGTTGTTATACTTGTTCCAATCATGGCCAGTGATGGTGTCACAAAAACAATTCATAGAATGGGATAGAGGCATATCAAGGTTTATGGTATATGGAAAGGAAAGAAAATTAAGGTGAGATATTAAACACTTCAGCTCCCAAAGGACAGAGGGGGTTTGGGTTTAGCAGGCCTAAAATAATATTTTTATGCTGCACGGATAAGACCTCTGATCTGCTGGTTAAATGATGAACATGTTTCTAAATGATGGAAACATCTGGAAATGGGCAGAAAAGATATAAGAATAAGAAATTTGATACGACCATTGAAAGAACTAAGTAATCAGTTAGATTAAATAAGTAGAACTAGAATTGAAATATGGAATACAGTAATTGAAAATGAAAAACTAGACAAAGATATAAGAAGCCTGAGTTGGTTTGCTTGGGACTCTGTGTTTAGACCAGGTGTTTATGATGAAGGGTTCAAGCAGTAGGGCAGTAAAGGTATTGCAGCAATGTGTAAAATGGAAGAAAAATGTAAGTTGCTAAGTTTCAATAAGTTAAAGACAAAATTTGGATTAGATTATCAGTATCAGTATCGGTATCTACAAATAAAAGATTAATATGACAAGAGATAAAAATTAACACCAGTAAAATAAATTAGATTTTTTTTAAATCCTACGAGGGGAAAAAAAAAGTTTAATAATCTCAGTGTAGTACCAGGGACTGATGGCAGGCAAAAAAAAAAAAAAAAAAAACATCTACAAAACATATTAAAGATAAATGGGAAAAGGAACTGAAGGACCATATAAGCGAGGAAGAGTGGTTTAGAATATGTAATACATATATTCTGATCCTGTCAACAGATAAATGGTTATTGGAAATAATATCTGCTGGAATTTGAAAACAATATATAGGATGTGGAATACCTAGATCATGTAAGACACTCTATCTGGAAGATAATTTTCAAGTAAATGTATTACTTTCATCAAATAAAAAGCCATTACAATTTTGTGGTATAAAAAAGAACCACCAACTGTGCAGCAGTGGCTGAACATTGTGGAGGAGATATCTGTGATGGATAAACACATATATATTTTGAGATGGGAAGCCAGGCAGTTTGTGGAAAATTGGGAAAAATTGAATGAATACAGAAAGAAAAAATGCACCACTCCCATAATATGGACATTGATAATGGACAATTGTATATGGATTTAAACATGCTGGAATCTCCCTACTGTTACAATTCAGAGAAAAGTTCAATAAAAAATAAGTTAAAAAAAAGTTGGGCAGGTAACCATTCACATTAAGCTGGTCCACTGCTTTGACGTCACTGGACCAGTTTGTGTTAATCCTGCTTCAGCACTATCTTATCACCACTAGCACTGTCTGGAAGGTTAAGATAACATATTCAAATTTTGTTACATAACCTGTTTTAATTTGCAGCTTTAATAAAACTCACCCAATAAAAAATATTTCTTGCTTAAATCAGGAAACATAATTTTTTTTATTTACTTCAATACTAGAAGGAAGCATAACTTCCTTGCCACCATGTCACCACTTAAGGTAAAGGATATCCTGTTGTTTCATTCACAGCTGCAAATACTTGCAATCCTAAAGTGTTACGTGAATGCTTACTATTAAGGCACATTACAGTAGATTTCAACAGCTGCCACAATGCACTTTTAACCGGCATCTCTCCTGGAAAATAAATGTTTAATTAAAGAAAAAAATATTTACAGCTGGTAGTGTAATAAAACAGTTAATACCAGATATTGCTACAGGAATAATTTGTTGTGCATGAGATAAAATTAAAGGCTATATAACACATAACTGATAATGGGGCAAAATGTTTTCACTTGAGTCTCTTTTGCAGAATATCACACTCCCTCTCACACTTAAACACACTCATCATTAGTGTTGGTTACATTTAGAAATCAACACAAGCAGTAAACCTAAATGTGCTTTAATGTAAATTTAGAGCTTCTTCACATTTCCATAATAAGGATAGCTGACATAAAATCACAATTTCTGTAGCTTTGCATCAGTCTCATGTTCTTTTTAATGGACTCTTATCTTATTTCCTGGGTTTATGAATGGCTCGGTGATCCAGAAGTGATTTCACTTCAGTAAGATTCCAGCAGGTGGCTATCTGTCTTCCCTACAGGGGCTGGCGGTTAGCTTGCTTGCTGACATACTGACTGGTTAGGAGTGCCAATCAGGAGAGGTTTTATGACACTCACTATGGAACAAAGTCCAAATGTAGGCCTTCAACACTTGTCAGTCCATCAGAGCTGTTGGGCCTGACCACCGCCTGGCTTTTCTCTGGCTCTCCTGCTGTCACTGTCTTGTCTCCTGGTCTTTGCAAAAATGAAGATTAAACTGAGCTGACTGTGAAGTTCATGTCCCCAGAGGATGGACATACCTGGTTATTTCATACAACAGCTTCAGTCTCCTGCCCATTACTCTGGTAACCATCCAGAGGATTTGGTCATGCAGGAGGGCTCAGCAACATGTGAGTACAAGATGGACTTCACCAGCTGCTCTTTATTAGAAATGTGAAAACATATTTTGTTTTATACAGATATTTTCATCAAATCTGCATCTGTTGCTGACAAATCAATTGGTTCTTCTAGAACACCCTATTTGGTGTTGCAAACAAGAAAATAAGAACTTGTAAATATTCTGTTTTAGGGATTTAAATTCATGTTCAGTCCATTTCATTTAGCAAACAGGGTCTGGAAATTATGTAAGGGTCGTGTATGTTATCAAAGGGAAGCAAATCTAGATGACTGATAAGGTACTTTCTGCAGCGAAGGGATGGCCCTGTACTGTTCCATGTTCTCACGACAACTGAGCAATAAACCTTATTTCATGTCGGCGACATTGATCTTGCCACAATTCTTAATTGGTAAATGTGTGTCAAAAATGGATCAAACATTTACTGTTTCTGTTGGATTTTGGCAGCTGAGGAAGAAAAGACTGAGGCAGGCAGCAGGCCAGAGCCAGAGGAGAGCTGTCCGGTTTGTGGTGACAAAGTATCTGGATACCACTATGGACTGCTCACCTGTGAGAGTTGCAAGGTATGACATAACCTGTTGATATGTTGTCCTGCTGTGATGATGAGGACCTGGATTTTTTTTTTTTCACTTGCACAGTAGTTACATTTTAGCAATGCTTCTTCCTCATACAGGGCTTCTTTAAACGCTCGGTGCAGAATAACAAACATTATACGTGTTCAGAGCAACAAAGCTGCCCAATGAACCTTTCCCAAAGGAAACGCTGCCCTTTCTGCCGCTTCCAGAAGTGTTTGGCTGTGGGCATGAGGAGAGAAGGTATTTAAGCTTTCATCGCTTTTTAAGTGAATTTTGCCTCTTTTTGATATGCAGTGCATTGAAAAGGTTACAGATGTTACCTGCTGTGGGTTTCTTGTTAAATTCAAATGCTTCAGAACATCAGTCCATGTAAAAGCATATAAATTTAACCTAAGTATGCAAAAAAAAAACAGCCGAAAGAAAAATATGACTTTTCAGAAACCGATTAGGCAAAATGGAACTTATGTTGGAAAGATCACATCTTCTCTTATTTGACTAAACAAAATATGTACTTATATTAATATTAATTTCAAAATAGTATTATTAGATGTTGCTTCTGACAAAAACATGGTTGTTGTTTAAAGGTCTAATGTAGTAGAAGCACAAGTTCTTCTCCCAAAAAGTCCTGAAAGTGGATTTCCAGCTTTTAGTGTTCACTGTGGACTTAAAAGGATAATTAGAAAAAAAAAAAAAACTTTGTCCAAATACTGCATTTTGAGGACAATAACGTTAACATGGAAACGGGTTGTTCTTGTTACCTTAAAACCAGATTGTGACTCAAAAGCAGTTTTTTGCATTTAACTAATGCTGTATGTGATGTAAAGTTTTAATAATCTGAATCATGCTGTGTCTAAAAAAGAAGGAAAAACATTTTTTTTATACGGTCTACAGCAATGTAGTTGTTCATCTTGCTTAAAATCAGTCATTCTGGGTATGGATAAATGTACATACAGGAAATGTATTTTTGGGGTCTATTATGAACCCTTTTCTTTATTTGCATTTCCACTTTTAGGCAAAACTAATCATTTCAGTCTTTTGCCAAATATGCTTTAAGTCTTTTGGTCAAACATGTTTGAATATGACTTTTTTTTGTGTGCCTCCAGCTGTAAGATCAGATCGTATGAGAGGTGGAAGGAATAAATTTGGGCCCCTGTACAGACGAGACAGGCAGATGAAACAGCAAAAGGCAAACACTGAGCCCTACAGGATTGAGATGGAAACTAGGCAAACATCTGTTCCCCAGTCTCCGAGTGACATTCACCAAATAAGTGGCCCAATAAACAACTCACCCTCTGCTGCTTTTCATCTCCCCCACTTCATGTATCCATCCGAAATGGAACAAAGTTGTCACCCCATGCCTCTGGACTGTACAATGAACAATCATGGAGCGCAAACATCTCCATCCATGCCTTTTCATGGACTCTATTGCACACTCCCTGAGTACTTGCAGGATAAAGGGGAGCCCAGCTTTAGCTACAGCCCAGTTCCTACACACTATCCAGTCCATTCAACCCCAGAGGATTCATTCGGACCAACATCGCCTCCCTGCTCAATACCAAGCTCAGCCCCTGCCATTTCCCAGAATAGGAATCAGGCTTTAAGAACAACTCCATCGACCATTCCTTCTCCTAACTTCCTTCACCAGCTTCTTGAAGGTGAACAAGATGAAGGTCAGCTACGGACCAAGGTCCTCACAAGTCTACAGAAAGAACAGGCCAATCGAGGGAAGCATGACTGTCTAAATACGTTCAGTATCATGTGCAAAATGGCTGACCAGACTCTGTTTGGACTTGTGGAGTGGGCCAGAAACAGCAATCTATTCAAAGAGCTCAAGGTGAGAAAACTTTGCTATATCAGAAAAGTCAAAGCAGCAGGTTAAGAGCTGACAGTTTTTTGGATTCAGAATTTTTCCTGTGCACCAGAATTTAGGGGATGTGGCTCTTTATTTTAAAATACTAAATGATGCCTCTGATAGGTGGACGACCAGATGGTGCTGCTGCAAAGCTGTTGGAGTGAGCTGCTGGTCCTAGATCATCTCTGCAGACAAGTCACCTACGGCAAAGAAGGATGTATTTATCTGGTCACAGGTCAACAGGTAAAGACATTCTGAAATTCCCATGAACTATTTTGAAGTAATGCAACAGAATTTCATCCCAAACTTCAACTACTAACTATAATTTATTCTCATGCAGATTGAAGTGTCAACCATTATTTCTCAGGCCGGAATGACATTAAGTAGCTTAGTAACAAGGACCCAAGACCTCGTGTCCAAACTTAAGGCACTCCAGTTTGACAGACAAGAGTTTGTCTGTCTTAAATACCTCGTCCTATTCAACCCAGGTTTGTGTTTTATTTAAACATCAGTGACTACGGTTAATTTTTTCAAATGTCTATATCATAAATGCAGCAGCTGTTGGCATTCAACCCACTCTCTGTGTTTTTAATGTATCAGATGTGAAGTCAGTGCAAAACCGCAGGCAAGTAGAGCAGACTCAGGAGAGGGTGAACAGGGCTCTCATGGAACATACCCAACAAAGTCACCGGGGACACTCAGACAAGTTTGGGCAGTTGCTTCTCCGGCTCCCTGAAGTACGCAGCATTAGCTTGCAAGTTGAGGACTATTTGGAGCAGCGCCACCTTCTTGGAGATTTACCCTGCAACTCTCTCCTTGCAGAGATGCTGCATGGGAAGCATAGCTAGGACTGTGCAGCAGTTTTGGTACATTACCAACACCTTCAACCATGTTGGACCATGCTATGAAAAAGTTTCTATCAGTGTTACCACAGCCAAACCTTGTAATTTTTTAGCAGAATTTTATAAATTAGGCAAGAATGCTGTTATTTGATGTAAAATGGAAAAACAAAATTGTTTAACAAAAGCAATAAAATACACCGTTAATAAAGCAAAGTAATCTTGTGTATACTTTTTAAGTTTGTTTTCTATTAAATACATAAAAATATTTCAATCTCACAAAAGGTTAAAGATGTATACGAAGATTATAAAAAAAATGTGGGGAATATATATATATAAATATAAAAAAATGGGAGTGATTTAAAAAAGGATTTTATTTTTCTGGTCCAGTTGCCAAGGAATCAGTTAATAAAATAAACATACAAAATGTGCTGGGCACAGAAAAGAAAACAGGAGAAACCAAACAAACATAACTTCTTCTCTGAAATGGCAATTTGACACATAACCTTAACTCAAGAAAGAAAAGATTAGAAAAGAAATGGAGAGAAAAGAACAAAGTGAAACCTTAAACTAAAAAATAAAACTTGTCAACTAAATCAAATGGAAATAAATATACCTCTAGGTGAGGTGGGGAGTTTAAGGGGGAATTGCACAGAATCAATACATGGTATTCACTACCACATATGAAGCATTACAATTACATAAACACAGTCAACCATTTCATTTACATGCAACCCCCCACAAACACTTATTCAATCAACAGTTTATTTCAAATTCATAGTTTTAGCAGTTCATCCACAGGAATCCCAATCAAACACTACATTACATGGAGGCAAACTGTGATTTTAAAAGAATATAGCCGCTCTGTGGCAACTGTAGTAGTGCTGCAAGACTGCAAAAAAAAAAAAGCAAATTTTCAGGATTCGGTGTCAACAATAAATTAATCAAACAATTCTGGTGTCATTTTCTTCTTAACATTGAGAAAAAAAAACTTGGCATTTTACATTCCCCAGTTGTACGTGAAGGAGTCTCAAGAGACTGTGGGGTAGAAGAGGGCTGTTACAGTCCAGAATGATCCTTCATTAATAAACCTACTGTTTATATGTCTGGACATACAAACAGGGAACAATGCATGAGGAAACAAGCTCAGTGACCTGAAGTATTTAACCATCCTAAAACAGTATCTGCAATTTTAGCTGTTGAACAATGCAAACGTCCTTCTCATTCACTCATTATCATCTCAAACATACCATGTCACTAATGCTTAAGCAGCAGGCTAGCTTATTCTTAGCTTACAAAGGTCAACATTTTTATTTTTTTTACAAATCATCAGCAGCAAAAAAGGAATTATTCAGCATATATTAAATCAACATTGATTATCATTCTCTTAAATAGCTTTATCCAGCTATTGATAAACAAGATGAAGCCCTCCTTCATGTTCCCCTCCCCCCAAAACAAAGTACTATTTCCATGATAAAGCAACAAAAGAGGAAACAATCCTGGGAAATTTTTTTTTCCTTCTTTCAGCTCCCAAAGCCCCAATCTGTCGCTAGCAAAAACATGTCAAAAAGTATTAAAAAAAAACATCCAGATGTCAACACCTGAAAAGAGCTGGAGTGGAGTGCAGAAAGTATGGGGCACAAGCAGTTTTAAATGTGAAAAGCAAAATGCAGTAAACCTTGAACATCTGTGGCGTTTTCTGGTCCTGGCTAGGAAAGGTTAAAGTGTGTCCTACATTCATATGGGAGCAGCGTTAACTGCCTACACACTTCAGCCCTGGTTTCCACTCAGAAGTGAGCCATGTGTCTCAGTAGACCGAAGTGAAACCCTGTCTCAGTAAACCCGAAGTGAGCCCTGGAAGAAGAAAAGGCAGCAAAAGGAAAAAAATCAAGCAGAGCCTAGAAGGGTGGGAGCCACATGTGCCCAAAATACTGTTGCGTAGGCAAAGGCAGTGTCATTTTCCCTGTCCCTTTATGAGTAAAAACAACAACAAAAAATAACAAAGAACATGACTCAGACATGATGGGTAAGGCAAGGCATGATGAGGAGATAGGAAACAGTTGTCTATCCAATTGAAAATTTGTCCCATTACACTTTACAATCTGACTGAACATTATTGTTAGATTGGCTGATTCAAGGAGTGGACATATCGTCTAGGCAAATATTGCAGCCTGGACAGATCTCTGGGTCCAACTTTATAATAGGCCAAATACCTGAGCGCTCAAGCCATTTTTCTCCCTACAACAAAACAATCCAACACTCCACAATTGCAATTTGGATTTATTTCCTGAATTACAACATCCTTCCCAACCTTAGGCAGATGTCTATTTTGGGGTGCTAAGCTTCTTAGGAGTTCCCGGCCGCTTCTGCCAGAACTGGTTAGGGATGGTGAAAGCGTCCACACTCATGGACATGGTTTTGGACGGGATGGCGGTGAACTGTTTACGGTCAGAGCTGTACTTATAAATGGACTCGACCATCTCAGGCGTAATGATCCGCGGGCCAATCCCAGTGAGCCGTACCATCTCCTCGGTTTCAGGGTTCATAGTGTATACTGCTCTGAACTGGCAACTGGCATCTCGGAAGAGGATTAGGAAGTGGTTAGCTGTGCTTTTTTCCATTTCCTGAAAAGAAAACACCAACAGAAAGAAAAAAAATCTAAGTAAGAGCCTTGTTAGTATGGCACTCTTAATAGGACTGCTTCATAAAAGTGATGTTTACCTCAACAATCTTGTTTTTTTGTGGTTCATTGACCTTTCCAGCCAGGCAGCAGCGCGTGATAGCATTATGGATGATAAATTTGTTTGACTTAAAGCTAGGTTCCTTGTAAAGCTTTGGTCCTGAAAGACAAATTTCACATATGGCCAGCTGCTTAAAACAGTGTTTTCATATTACACCTCTGACTTATTACTGACCTGTGTATTCTGGGATGGACGCTGGGGAGGAAATGGTGGAACCATTTTCCCAGTCCCCATTCTGGGCACTTCTTCGCCCTGGTGACATTAGCCGTGAGCGGGAGGGAGAGTGTGATCGGCTGGAAACAAGGTTTAGTTTGTTACAGACATTAATTGTCACAATCACCTTTGCACCTGATAATGATAACGACTAGCACAGCAACTGTAGCTAGAGACGGATAAACACAAACAAATAATGAAACCATTTGTGCGTTGTAAAAATCCATTATCCAGGTCCTCTTTCACTGACAGTTAATGCAATGTTCTTTGAACTGTCAATGGCAAATATCCAACGCTCCAAGTTTTAAAGCCCTACATAAATAATTCTAAACCATCATCTCTGTTCAGGTTACCTTGGAGATTTCCTGACAGTCAGACCTCCAGAGTCATTAGCCATAGATGACAGGTTCATCGTTGAGTGGGAGTACACTTTGTTCAGCCTATTTCCTACAGAGAGAACAGCAGCATGTTATGATAAAAACATGCAAAGGGAGAGATAATGTTACTTTATCTGAAAAGCTGTGGTGAGAATGTAAGATGTATGTACCTTTGACAGGACTGCTGGACAAAACTGAGTCATCTCTGAAAACGGTCTTGGGTCTTTGCTTCTTTACGCCGCGTACAGTGGTAGGTTTCTGCTTCAGCACTTTGTCCAGATCTTCCATAATCTTAAGTTGCTGTCGCCTCTCATACTCCTGCCTAGTAAACTCGTCTCTGCGCTTGGGAGTCCCTTCTGCTGGGGTGCTTGATGCTGGAGGGGTGGCCGGGCTCTGGGGTGTTTCTTCATTCTTATTGCCCCAGCCCTCAATGATCATCCACTGAGGCTTGCTAAAAGCAGAGAGAGATATTAAGAACAATATCAAAATGTAATATATATCAGCAAAACGAGAAAGAAATATACATGGATACATGAATTAAAAAAGATATTATCTACAAAATATATGATTAGTCTCTACGGAAATCACTTTGGAATTCTGATTTCCTAAGATGATCATTACTAAGGGTCTAAACCATTCTCAAACCTGTAACTTGTTGATGCCTAATCTGACCCCTTTTCTGTTACAATGAAAGCATAATTACAATGACTCAGCTAAAGAAAATACAAGAGAAAAAGATCAGAGAGGCAATCTGGACACCAATAACAAGTCTTGTACTTAAGTTGTCACCAAATAGAACTAATTTTGTCACAATTTGCAGATTTCACCAAATTAACTACAAACAGAGCTTGCTTCAAGAAAGCTTTGGGTAAAACATTGAGACAGCTGGAAGAAGGGCTTAGCTGCTGTATTATTTTTTTCTGTCTGTCATAACATCTGATTCAAGAGCCAATTGGACAAGCTGCTACCAAAGAACTACAGGCCTATCTCAGATTTCCTCTTCAACAGTAGGGTTTGAATACACTGCTTCTTATAGCTCCTTTCCCATTGGTCTGAAAAACCAGTTTAAACCCAGGACCAATCTGCTTTTAGTGGCAGTGGGAAAAAATGACACGTGTCTATCCAGATCAAACAACTCGTCAAACAACCTGCGTTAAAGTCACCTCGGCTCTGATCGGCATGCAGTGTGAACATCAGACCCAGGTTTACCCGCTAAATTATGTGACACCATTGAGCGCAAAGAATAGACGAGCTAAAAGCCGAATGTTAGCAGGTTAGCCCGGTTTTGAAAAACCCGGGTTTTCAGTGGGAAAGCGGCTTTACAGTTCAACACTTTCCTAAAAAAGACCAGTCTCTTCTAAATCTTCCAGTCAGGGTTCCATGCACACTACTCATTTATTTTTTTCCTGTCATATTAATCACAAAGTGCAAACTTGTAAATCGGACCGTTTAAACTTGAGATGTGAACAAAACTGTCTCAAAAGGGCAAACCTCTTTGTGAAAAGTGAAGCCTCACTCGAGCAAGCAGACGTGACACAGTGGGGACACAGCAGACATGCAGCTGCATTATCTTCCCTGCACAAACCATATTTGCAGCGTTGTCTGCATCAAATACAGGGTGTTTGCTGGTCAGCCCCCATTTGTTAATGTCTTCAATCAACCTATTGGCTATATTTGCAGCTGTGTGGCTTGAAGTAATCTTGAGTGCTGGTTTCCTGCTCATTTGAATGTGAACGTCATGCACGTCACTATAAAACTAATTGATCTCATTCCCTAGACATCGATTTTACAAATATGTAAAGGAATCGCTTCAAAATCAATTAAATCGATTTTTTACCCAGCCCTTACAAAGACAGTAACAAAGTTGGCCTATCACCTAAATAACATCTCCATGATTAAAGTAATGTCTCTGTTACCTGCGTCCTCACCAAAATAAAGTGGAGAGCATCACAACCATTCTAAAGTCCTTCCACTGGCTCCCTGTATTTGAGAGAAAAGCCTTTAAAATACTTGTGTTAGTGGATAAATCACTAAAAGGCTTAGCTCCAAAATACATTACAGACTTATTGTCAGTGCATTTACGGCACAGACCTCCAAGGTCATCTAGGCGACGTGTATTCTGCATAAGGCCTGGGCAATAAACTGAATATATACCGTTACCAACATTCACTACGAATAAAAAAGCGTAATTTTGCAGTTTTGCCTGTGTGACTGGTATTTCCTTCCCTTTTAAGACACTGTAGCATGTATGGAAACACATGAATCCACCAATCCAGTCAGAAGCGTAAACAAAGAATGGCATATAAGCTCAGTGAAGAAGCGTCTAACACAGAGGTAAACAAATTACATCAGTTAATCCTGTGGAGTGAGAGTAGAGATGAAACGGAGCATGCAGAGACGCCAAAAGCTCGTTATCAGTCTGCGTTTTTTAGCGAGGGTGTGTGGGTTTTAACGATGCACATTGTTCTCACTGCACGCTCAGTTTGGTGGCACAAAAATTATGCCATAGACATTGAGGAAAAGAACACGAAATGCAAAGTGTGCCTGAAAACTGTTGGTACTACCGAGCAACACATCCACCACCTACAGCACGGTCACTCCGAGTTTAAAGACGTGCAAAAGGCTCCATTACCTTTGTGCAAAAATATTTACAAGGTAACATTATTCTCCTGTTCAGTGAGACATTGTTGAATTTTTAAACCTGAATGTGATTTATTCAATAAATTTTAAACAGATCCATTGCATTTCCTGCACATGCCTTTGTTTCTGTTAGAGGAGCTGGAGCATTTATCGTACATTTATCGTTAGTGAGGTAAAGCTGCCCAATTCATTGTGATATTGATTTGAAGTCATATCGTCCAGCCCTGCATAACAGAATCAGACCCAAACAAGGAGAAGCAGCTTTTAGTTCCTACGCTCCACTAATCTGGGTAAAGAAAAAAAAAAAAGAATTATAAAAGAGCTGAAAACCATAAATTGCTTTAAATCCAGATTACATTTGTTTAAATTTGTAATCCTGCTTTCTTCTTCATATCAACAATTTAATTATTAAATTTTTATAATGATCCTTTTTTAATTATCCATTGCAATTAAATTTTGCTCTGTGCATTTTCCTACTTTTTTTTTTTTAAATGTAGAGCACTTCAAACTATCCTACTACTAAATACACTATATTAATAAGCTTGCCTTGTCATTTATGCACTGCAAATACTCTCCAAATCTAGTTCGTCATCCAGGTATACAAGAGGAAAAGAAATAATATCATACTTTGATTCTTTTTCCTTCTCTTGCTCAAGTTTGCGTCTCTTCATCTCTTCCGTCCTCTTCTGTTGCTTCTCAAGCAAAGCGGCTCTTCGCTGTGCCATTTCATCCTCTGGTCGATCCTTTTCATCCTACAGATGGCAACAACCAATGGATATGAGTGAACCCGAGTGCGTTTCACTGAAAGCAATGATATGACGTAGTACCGACCCTGAAAAAGAAGCCAACTCCCCCCGTTGTTTCTGTCTCTGTTCGGTCACTCTCCGAATCGAATACAGGCATCTGGTCATCCTCCTCTCTTTCTGCTCCCAATGGGATCTCTATTAGACTGCTGCGTTTGCCATTTGACATTCCAGCAGGGGCTTCACTGTCAAAGGAGCACTCTGAAGGGGCACCAGAGCTGCAGCCTGCACTAGCAAGACCTTCCTTCCTTAACAGAGGACTAGGGGAGTGCCCTGCCTCCATGTCCATGCTAAAAATACTCTGTCCATCATTGGAGCCTGCCTCTGATGGTATAGGAGTCGGTGAAGGAGAGGGGACAGGAGTAGGCCCGATTGAGCGCAGTTCATCCATGCTTTCAGAGTTACCTAAAGAGATGGAGGATGAAGTCTGAACTTGGGACTGCCAAGGATTTACTCGACGCCGATGGGGAATGTTGTCCACATTCTGAGGTGGTGTCAGAACCCTTGACGATGTGGGACACTTAGTGTCCATTTGGCGACTGTGTTTTGGACTTTTTGGGGGTACAGAGTGAGCTCTCCGGTGAACATTAGGAGATTTTGGAGGAGCGGTATTATTAGTCATTCTGCGCGATGGTGAGGGAGAGGAGGATGTCAAGTTTAAACTTCTGGTGGATTCGCGCGAGAGACGAGGACCTGAGCTGGAAGGTTTAGGGTTGGCTGGAATAACCCAGGATTTGTTTGCAGATGCTGCAGGTTTTTTCTTGATGAGTTGATCCTGCTGCTCACTCAGCCTCTGCATGTCAGTTTGCAGGGAGGATAGTGCTGCAGTCAACTTGGAAACAGCATTGTTATAATCCCCTAAAGGAGCTACTGTCTTTTCTCCAGGTGTCCCTAAGCTCTTCTCTCCTGCCATAGCTGCCTTTTCTTTAAGCTGCGTGGAGTCTTTGATGAGCAGGGGTCCTCCTCCAACACTTATGTCACCCTCCACAGAGAGGCGCTGTTGATCTTGTACCTTTTCTTCCTCCTCCTCCATTCGAGCAAGAGTTTCCTCAAATGTCAAATGTTTGGAAGGGGCATTCACTTGACCACTTCCTCCTTTCCCCTCAAAATCAGCCTCATTCTGCTCCTTTTTAAGCTGTTGAAAGGCACTCTTCCCCAGTTTTTGGCGATGCTTTGCAAAAATGGCCTCAATGCGTTTCTTCTGGGCTTCAATGGCTTTTCGTTTTTCTTCAAGTCGAGCTCCCAGTTCAGACATTTCATTATTTAGTTGCGGACTTTTGCTCGGGCTTTCTTCAGACTTCTGCGCCCATGTGGTCATCTGAGGAGATGATGGATCATTAGCTTTAGGAGAATCCAGGTTCTGTCTCTTTTTGCGCTCAGCAAAGCTCGTCATCTTCACTCCGCTGTCAGGTGCCTCCTTATTATAGCCAGCAGAAGTTTTTGCATTGGCAGCTGGTGTGTTTGGAGTCGACTGGGCCTTTGGCAGGTCTTCAAAGGTATCTGAATCCAAACTCCCATCTCTCATTACTGAATCATCATCCTGTGAACATCCTGAGGTGTTTCTGGTGCGAGCTGGCTCTTTAGACTGGTACATCATTCCAGATCGTGATGGGGCAGAGCAACTTATGGGTGCCAGGCTGCCATCATATCTAGAACTAGCAGGATCATCAGGAGAGTGGAGGAAGAAGCCATCTGGAGCACCATCAGGGTGTAACCGAGGTTCCATCTTTCCTTCATTGTGAATTATTTGAAGAGCCTCTTCAATTGTAGGAAGCTCACCAGTTTCATTTGTCTCCAGTCCATTCTCCTCAGCAACCCTTGGGATAACTGGAGTCTGTGTGGCCCATGATGCCCTCTGTGGACCGTTTGGTCCAGGGGATTTACCAACCAAATGGCTGATGTCTTCGGGAGGAGTGTAGGGTTCTTTCATGCTGTGACCTGGTGGGTTTAGCTGATCTGAGCTCATGGAGCGGGTTATTACAGGGTTGCCCATCACTATATCTACATCACTGTCAAGGCCAAAAGGAATGCTGAAGGATACTGCTGACAGGGGACGGCTGAGAGAAAGAATAGAAAGTTTAGTTCAAATTAAACTGGTTGACTTATTAGCTTATTTAATGTTTTGGCACTACCTGAGAGGTTTCTTGCTCCAAGTCTTTCCAACTCCTTCTATATGAGACATGGAGGTAGACTGAGTCAAAGGTCCTGAGTACAGTGGGACACAGACAACCATGTAAAGGCATGCATACACCACAGGGATGCATACAGAAATACTGATGGAATAACATGTATAAAAAAAGGAAATAACACATAAAAATACAAAAACAAACAACACAATGACTGGGGGGGATAGGGAATAAACTGGCTAAATTAATGGCAATCGGTGCCACCTTTGTACCTGATGCAGAAGACGAAATGGGGAGAAAAGGCTTCCTGAAGATGGAGGGAGACGAACTGTCAGGTGAAAAAATACACCTTTAGCTTAAAGATTTAAAAAAAAAAATGCTTAAAAATAGACATTGTATAAAAGAAATGTATACCTGTTACCATCGACGCTACATGTCCTAGATGTGGATCCATCTGGAGAAATAGAGAATTATTTCAGATCTATGTAACATTCATTTAAATTTATACTGCAGGGTAATGCTAGAGACCATTCCCAAAGGAAAACAAACTGGTGCCACTTACCTGAAGCGTGGATCGGCTGAACAAATTCTGGCTTTTCAACTTCAAACCAGTGAAGAAGCTCAGACAGGAAACTCAGAAAATTGAGCTTGAGGAAAAAACACACATTAAGTCAGGCATCAGAGTAAAACGATTTATATTTTGGTGCACAGGTCAAATCATGAAAGATGGTACCTGTAGCTCCTGTGGGGTGTAGAGCATGTCTTCGAGTGTCAAGTGACAGCAGCCCTTCAAACAGCTGTCACAAAATTCATGGATGAACTGCAGGTTGTACAGGCTGTCTGCTGCTGACATGGAGTCCTTCATACAAACATCTAACAGACAGACAGACAAAGCATTAAGAGATATATATATATATATATATATATATATATATATATATATATATATATATATATATATATATATATATATATATATATATATATATATATATATATATAGTCCTCACAAATAAAACCTTGTGAGGACCAGCAAAATGTCTTCACTTGACAAAAAACAGTCCTCAATGTGATGGGGAAATTGGAAAAATGGTCTTTACCACTGGTTCCTATACAGCTACACACACCCATACACATATATAAAGAACACAGCTAGTCTATAAAACAGAATGCATGTACCTGACTTCTTAATGCTGAGTGGACTGATTTCGCATTTACACTTTTATATGTTATACAACATTTGTAGTATAACATATGTGTTTATTTTCCTGATTGTTGTTTAGATTAGATGAAAAAAAAAAACTAATGGTTTGTTTGTACCCATTAAAACCATTAAACATGAAAAATCCTTTTTCAATAAATCCCTGGACTGTTTCTTTATTACAAATTAGGATGATAGTTGGTCTTAATTCAATGCAAATTCAAAAATTCTTCATCAATTCATTTGGAAAATAAAATAATTGTTCTTTGGTGGTACCATCTCCATCTTATTCTGGGTTGTGATTTTAAAATGTAGCATAGCATGCTCTTGTAGAGTTCTCTTTATTTTACTAAATGCTGGACTGGATATGATTGGTTTCAAAAATTGTTAACAGGAGACAAAGTCAAAAAAGAAAACTCTAGAGTGTAATAACACTAAAGTTCTTGGCTGTATTGTACATGTCTGCTTTCGCATGTAGGAAAAAAAAGTGCTCCTTGTTCCAACTGTTAAGTTATCATCTGCATCCTGCTGGAAAACCCTATTCGTTAACCTCTTACACCCTAAGGGGGTATAAATAAATTTCTGCCTGACAAAAACACACCAAAGTAAATAACTTATAGCCTCAAAGCTATTAGATTTAAGAAGAAACTTTTGGTACGTCTGTAAAGGTAAGATGTCATAGAATGGTTTTCTGGTGTCAGCACCATTGTAGCTTTGACCCTGCCTGAAATATAAGGGACAAAATACAAAATATTTTGCATTTTTTGAACCTCGCAAAACACTACCAATATATTATTTATAGCACAAAAAAGTAGTACAGACTTTCAAATCTAAATGTTGTGTAAAAATATACCAAATTTGGACTCAATCAGATAAATCATATTTATTTTACAATGGTATTAGTGAGAAATTTCTTAGGCGGAGAGGCCATTTTGGTCGCATTTATCCATAAATGTCACCAAACTGTGCCAAATATGTTTTTTACATCAATACTGGGGGTTTGGTAAAACTACGAGGTCATGTAGCAGCTGGACCCGCCGGTGGGTCCGTAGGGTTCAAGGGGTTAAACACAGATTCTAAAGTTTGGGAATACCTTCAAGCCTCAATAACCCAGGGCAATAGTAATGTATGACAGCTGCAACAGCACAACCGCTGGAGAGGTCTTTAACTTCATTCACTTCCGGAAATATCGGCTTCACTTTGGACTGTATTTTATCCTTCCTGTAGCGGAGCTACAAAAACACACAAACAAGAAACTCATAAAAAACTGCAAGTTTCTAAATGACCTAATCAGTTTTATGCATTAGCTAAAAGCTTTCATTGTGGACACAAGTCAAAATCTAAGCAGGCAGCAGGTCTTTCTTATACGACAAAGGACAAACAGAAAGTCATGCTAAAGACATGCAACATGAGTTGAGCATATCAACGTTGGTGACAGAGGTATGGACAAAAACCCAACCAATAAAGAGGTCAGAAGGTCAAGATGGTCTCAAGAGGGAGAGAAAGAAAAAATCAAAAGTATAACTGCAGGTTATAAAAACAAAGGCAGGAGCAGCTGGCTAAACTCATCTCTGATAAAATCCATGCAAAGACACAGCACCTAATAAACATTGCAGTTTCAAAATGCAGCTTTTTAAAATCTGATTCATGCACCACTCATGATGCCTTTTGGCCCTGTTCAGCAGTGCTTATTTTATAAATTGAAACTTTTTAATTCAGTTCTGTTAAGTGCAAACAAAGATTGGATGCAAAATGCAAACTCAAACCGGCCCATGGGGATAAAAATAACAGACCTGATGAGAATTTTCAGAAATTTGATGAGAACACTGGATGGATGGGCGGATAGGGAGGATGCAGAGAAAAGGATGGAACTTACAGGAACAAGTTTCCAATACCAGCGTGTAGGACACTGTCAGAGCAAATAACAGAAATAGAAAAGAGAGGAGAATGGAGAACAGGAGCACAGGGACAGCTATTAAGTATGCAGGAGAGGAACGAGACAAACCGGACAGGATTGAGATGAACAAAGTGTCTTGGAATTGCAAAAGAAATTATTATCAAGTGTTTTATATTTAAAGTTGTTTAACTCGATGGGAAGCCTAGCATAGGTTTAATTTGACCATATGAATGAGACCTTTCCCTTGTTGCTTTTTTGGTCTGAAGTATAAAGTATATTAGTGATTCTGCATTGAATCACTTTTTTTTAACACTGGATAAATAAATAAAAATATATTGTGACAAACTTGAATATTTAAATCTTTAAAGGGCTTAAAGGGGCCTTAGTGACATAACAGTGAATGTTGGCTCTATCACTTTAACCTCTTAAGAGTAACAAAGGTGCCAGCACCTCCCATAGAACCAATGACAGATTTGGAGGTGCATGTGCTCAGCAATACTCACAGAGGGCTCAACAGGTTGGGGCTCTGTTGCTGCCTCAGAGTCATTCTGAGCTCCTTCACTTCGTTCTCTGAGCTTCTGGTTTAACTAAGGACAGAATATCAGAACTGTCAGATTGTTCTATAATGGTTCTATAATAAATTATACATTACAAGTCAGTGTTAAATAGGGACGATCAATTTAAAACCTACAACATACCATAAAAATGTACATTTAAAAAAATATTTTTGTTGCCCGATCACTACTTACCACATTAACCCAGTTAAGTAGAGCATCTTCCCAGCTAGCAGCTCCATCCACTAATTCAGCAGATCCATATGTCTTCACTGCAGTTACAGTCTCTATGGCTCCCACTGCCATCAAAGCATCCATCACTGCCAGATGGGCGCTCTGCACAAATTATGAAAGAAAAAGGAAATTAAATAATGATCCTTTCTGTGACAAGATCAACCAGTTTGAAACTATATTATTGTTGGACAATCATTTTTATTGATTTTTAAAATACATGGTTTGCAGTACAGCAGATATCTCAGGACCTGTCACTGTTTACTAGAACTGTCCTCTAGAGGTCACTATAACCAAGCAGTTGACCAGGAAAAACTTCAGAGAAACTTTTTTTCCACCATGCAAACTGACAACAGTAGATGTGGGTGAACTTTGGACCCATGTTTGTGCATTCATTAAATCATTAAATAGGCAGCCAACCTGTAATATAATAACACACAGGACCTGGACCAGTCATTCTTAAGCTACTTTCTCTTTATTTGATTTACCTTCAGCACAGTGAAATATTTCCATATGACTCATGTAAAAAAAAAAAAAACATACAGGAAGTGTCAGATGAAAAAAAGAGGCTGTTACTCGACGGCGACAAAACATAATTGGAAAAGAAGAACATCCATGAGAGCAAAGGTGTCCATATCTGATTGCATTATTTTCAAAATTACAAATACCTAGAAACTGATTTCAGGACATATTTAAAACCCATACCTTTCAAGTATTTCTTCAAGCACAGGAGATCATTACAGAGCCAGTTCAAATGCTCTGAGCTCATTAAAATGTAGAACCAACGTTATCAGCTCAGTCAAAGTGAGAATGTTAATTCTTTAAACCTGTTAACTTCTTAGACCTTGTATGCCTGTTTGCATCACAGCATTGATACTTAAACTTTGCATGTCTAAACCTATTTTTGAAGCATTTAATTTAGGGTTGGACAGCAGACCAAACAGAAAGAAGGATTAAAATGATTTTTATGCAAGCACATTCCTTTAACAATTTTTTTCGTTTGGAAATGATTTGCACAGTTTTGTTTTGTTACTATTATTATATTAATCAGTAACAGTGTCTCCCTCCTAAATGGTTTACCGAGAAACCCATGAGTAATTTTAAATTGGTAGAGAAAAGACTGGTAAAAAAAATAATAAAAATAGCATATTTTCACCGAAATGATTCTCTGTTAATCTAAACATTTGATCTTAATCTGTGAAAAATCAATAACTAGATATTTAACTTTAAAGCAAACCTAATTTTCCAGGGATTCTTAACTAGCCTGTAAAACTTGTCCAAACAAGAGGTAACAGTGGTTTAGCTGTGTGAATGAGCCCCTAAACCCAGCAGTAAAGTGCTGACCAGGGCAGAGCAGGCTTGTCAGATGGTACCGGGGCAAGCTCTGCAGATGCGTCCGTCCAACAGGATTGTAACCCTCGTCAGTAAATACAAACACAGACTCTATGGATGCCCTCCATACATCAGCTAACAATAATGTAAAACAAAAACTATAAAACAAAGGCTTCTAGCTCCCAGCTGGATTTTTTTTAAATCCAGTTGTTAATCCACATTATTATTACATTAGGGCTGAAACAATTAATCTGATCAATTTTGATTAATCAATTATTGAAATAATCGTCAACTAATTTGGTAATCGATTAATCGTTAACTGGAATATAGACTTTAAAACATGCCTTTAGCTGAAAGAGTGACACATTTAAAGCTGTATTTATATCAAAATTGTAAATGTATATACATTTTGCATTTAAGAATAAAAAAAAATGTTTTCATCAGTTAATATGCTCTATCCAGAAGTCCTCAAGTGGAAAAGTTTTAGTTTCACCTGGTTTGATTTCGTAAAAAATCTATAAGGAACCTTTTGTTATCCCATTATTAATTGATTAATTGAAAACATAATCGACTGATTAATTGATTTGCAAAATAATCTTACCTATATTAGATACACACTTATAACACAGTCAATTGTAATCCATGTAACTTTGATAGTGCATGAATAAAAGGAGATCAGGAAAGAAAAGAAACCATGAGTACTGAAGAAGTACAGTTAAACTTCAGTTTTGATTTAGCAGCGTCTACATCAGTTTAACAAACATAAGTAAAAAAAAGTTATAAAAACAAAACAAAACAAAAAATCTACATCTGAGTGGCCAAATCCATCTTTGGCGTGAAGTTCTGTCACATTTAAAGGTCAGTGGAAGGTAATTTATGATAATAAAAGAAACTAAATCAAAACAGGAGGAACGAGTTGTAGCCACTTGCAGATTTGCCACTTATATCAAAATTGTAAATGTATATACATTTTGCATTTAAGAATAAAAAAAATGTTTTCAACAGTTAATATGCTCTATCCAGAAGTCCTCAAGTGGAAAAGTTTTAGTTTCACCTGGTTTGATTTCGTAAAAAATCTATAAGGAACCTTTTGTTATCCCATTATTAATTGATTAATTGAAAACATAATCGACTGATTAATTGATTTGCAAAATAATCTTACCTATATTAGATACACACTTATAACACAGTCAATTGTAATCCATGTAACTTTGATAGTGCATGAATAAAAGGAGATCAGGAAAGAAAAGAAACCATGAGTACTGAAGAAGTACAGTTAAACTTCAGTTTTGATTTAGCAGCGTCTACATCAGTTTAACAAACATAAGTAAAAAAAGTTATAAAAACAAAACAAAACAAAAAATCTACATCTGAGTGGCCAAATCCATCTTTGGCGTGAAGTTCTGTCACATTTAAAGGTCAGTGGAAGGTAATTTATGATAATAAAAGAAAGCTAAATCAAAACAGGAGGAACGAGTTGTAGCCACTTGCAGATTTGCCACTGTAGACCCAGGGGAGCTCGCTAAGCTAAATCACAAGGTTCCCTAATGAGTAGAGAGAGAAACCACTCCAGCACACAGCTCTGAGCCTGCCAGATCACCATAACAACCAACCAGCTGACCCATAATGCATCTGAGTACAGGCCTAACTGCTGTACTGATCTGTGCTCTGGGCTTAGCCCTCGATCTCAGCCCTGAAAACATCCCTCACCTCTGTAATATCCTGTAGAGAGGAAAAATAAATATGAAGCAATCCCCTTAAGATTGAAACATAACAAAACAAGAAAACTACTAAATGATCTTTGTTTAATAAAGTGGGAAAAGGACATTATGTTGATCGCTAGACAAAGTCATGTTGAAGGGATTATGTCTGAAATATGACTTAACCCCATCCCCGCCTTGCTCCTGTTTGACGGGGCGACAAACATGGGGATCAAGCAGGCCGGGGGCCCAGAAAGGGATTTTGGAAATGAGGTTAATACCCGTATGTATGTAATTTATATGACATGAAACGGCTCAAGATGAATTTACACCAATTTTTTTAAGAGGCTCATTTCAAAATTGGAAAATTTATTATATTCTAAGCAACAACTAACTGAAGCAGAAAACACTAATAAAAAAGGTACAGAGATGATGCTCATCGTTTCTCAACGTCAGACTGTTCCTTTATGTTTTGCTGATCAAAAACCTGCAAACACACTAAAATAGCCTTTTAACAACACATCAATTCTTACTAACTTTTTTTTTTTTTACATCTTCTCCATTAATAGCAGTTTGTTAAACTTATTCCAGGTGAGACTCCTGGATTTTTGTTGAAACCTCCTAACCTGGCAAACACACTCTGAATCTGAAGATGAGAAGGAAGAGCTGGCATGGCGGGAGAAGCCAGCTAGACAACAAGGCGGTTGAGTAAGAGGTCACACCTCTCATTTCACAATCCTAGCAAGGCTAACTCCTATTTTACCGCATAGCGCTGCTCAGCTGAGAGTTATTGACGTGAAGGAATCACAGCCAGCATTTAGACAAATCTGTTTGAAAAGCAACTGCAATCATCCACTACATGAGACAAACTGGGGAATGGAAGGGTCTATTGAGCATCTCTAAGATGTCAACCAATCATAAACGAGGACCTTCGGTAGATTATGTCTAATCTTTAAGGATCCTTATCCTCAAATTGAGGAGAAATGGGGGCTGGGCAGATACAACCAGAACAACCCAATTACTATATAAATATAATACTTTAATCAAAACTTTAGAAACAGTCTTTACTTTTAAAGAAACATTTTTCCTATAAAAAAAAAAAAAACGTTCAAACACCCAAATCAAAATAAAACAAAGAATGGCTCCCTAGGATTATTATTCATTCGCACTTCGTTAGAGAAGATCTTTCACCCTTTGTAAAACTACAGTTTATAACATTAATATAAGAATATATATTAGAAAAAAGATGAATAAACATGATCAGATGACCCTAAATAAGTCTTTTTTTTTTTTGCCCTATTGCGACTGAATTTCATAAGAACCTGTTAACAATAATGCAACAACCTTTAGCAACCCAAAACAAATCTACAGTGAGAACGCAGATTACTTGGCAGTAGCACTGGTTGAAAGCATAACCATGCCTCTCATCTGGAAAAATGTGAGGCTTCACAAACGGATAACTAGCCGCAGATTTCCACGGCTGCAAAGCTTTTTTACTGGCCTGGATCCACACTGATGCTCCATCCTTGATACACTGCAGCATGACCCACTTTCTTTGCTTGCCACACAAGCTGCACCGCCAGTCACTGGCAGACAAACTCACATCATTCGCAAATAGCAAGCGCAGCACTGACAGACACACCCAAAGAAGAGCTTCACACCTAGTTTTGAAAACAGAGACCAGCCATTGTTTTAACGGGAAAGTTCTAACCCACAAAAAATTATTATTTTATGCACTAAAGGCAACAGAGATGGCATAAAATACAGATACCTGTGCAGATACATTCAGCTTATTTTGCTTTCCTACTTTGACCATTAATTTTTTTTTTTTTTTTTTAATCACCATATGAATTAAAGATCCAACTGTGCAAACTTGTACAATGCCTAAACTGCTAATCAATGGTATTAACAAAGAGAAAGGTCCTGGAGGATGACGTGGATGTGAAAATATGAGAGTAAATTATTCTGGGCCTTCAAAAATGTTATTCAACTCCCTCCCTCCCTCCAAAAAAAACAACCTACTAAAATAGCATACAAAGCCTTTTACACTTGTTGTGAACAAAATATACAAAGCAACATCTCAGAGAGATCTGCCGTTAGTCTGGTGTCCATACGACAAGTACTAGATGGAATTACTCCTTTTCAGGGAGGTTAGTTGAGTGGTCAACAAGGAAGTTATGTAAATGAGTTTGAATTGGATGGATTCTGTGTGTTGTGTTGCCTTTAATTAGCAATGCATCTCTCAACGAACCCAGGCCCACAGAAACAGAAACTTGGTCATACGTTTTTCTTGGGCCTTCTCCTGCCTTCTTTGCATAGTGTTTGTGCTGTGGCCAGTGGATATAGGGATTAAGTAGAAACTTGTTGAGGACTCTCAGATGAAGATCTGGATCTATAACAGGTGTGTGTCAGTCTCAGAGTTAGTCAGCCATCTGTGTGTTATTGTTTCTCAAAAGGGCAAGTCTCCTTTGTAAAGGGACTTTGGGACTTAAGAAAACCTTTGATGCTCCAACACGTCATAACTCTGCTGTTAAATGCGAAGAACACAACAAAAAAACAACAGAACAGAAAAGAAAGGGCCTACAGGTAAAAAATAAATGAGGATATGACAGTGGCAAAGAAGTAGGAATAGGAAAGCTTAGAACAGAGTAAATAAAATAAGAAAAATCTTTAAAAGGTAGGCAGTATATCAGAAGAGAGAAAACGCATTTAAGAAAGAAAACTGCATTCTTAACAAAAAGAGGTATATCCAGGTAGAAAATGAGAAAAAAGTAAAAGATAAAAAAATAAAAAATCACCAATAAGCACCTTGAATAAGAAAACCATGACTGGGCTGATACTAATAACCTGAATGTGGTAAATGTTTGGATGATACGTTTCTTTGGTCCAATCTATTTCCTAAAACTCTAGACAAATTACCATTTCCCTCAAAACAAAAGAGGATTCAACTTTACAAACCAAAATGGTGAAGAAAAAAAATGGTAAAGAAAAAGAAAAGAAGAAATTAAGACTACCAAGATTTCTCCAAGAGCTGTTTCTGCTGAGAAACAGACTTATTGATCCAATCTCATGATTTAGCTCACAATCAGAACACCAGGTCCTTCCAAACATCGACTCGTATGTCTAACAGCTATTCTTCTCTACAGCAGAAAAAAACCCAAGGTGCTGCATGTGTAAGTAGAGATAGCAGGACTGCACGGTACGCCATCACACTGTCAGTACACAGATTTTTCCATCAGGCCCTTTGTCTTTGGTAAGCACATATAAGCCCCATTTACACTACCCTCTGAAAACCAAACCCTGCTGAGCTCGGATCAGTTAACAGTACCGAGCTTGGTTCCTTACACAGGCTAGCATGCAGCTTTTGGTGAATTTATTTGACAGAGTCAGAGAGTCAGAGTTGGAAAATGGATACGACAAACAATAGTCTAACCAGGGCTTACAGACGCCGGAAATGACAGGACTTGAGTTTTATCAAACTGCTAATCAGAATCATCACTGGAAAACATGTGGCACAGTAGGGAAGCTTGTATTTTTATAAATGTCTGAAATTTCATGATTACAGAGGCTGATTGTTAGGAGATGACGCGGTCTGCTCATGCGCTCTTTGTTTTCCGAGAACCGAGCCAGAACTGAACCGCCCAGAGCCCCACCGATGAACTAATACCGGTTTGGCGCGTTTCGGTTGCGTCTTGCACGGTCTGGTTCAGTTGTGCGTGCCATTTACACTCAACAGTTATCTCGGTTACCGTGCTCGGGCCGATCTCGGTACGGTTTCCAATGGGTAGTGTAAATAGGGCAATAGACACGGCTTTAAGTGATCTGTTAGGATCATTTAAATAAACAGAACTGAACAGATCTACCCTGAACATGATTTAATTGTTGCCATCATGTTGCAACCAATGACAATCAGCTACTTTTTAAGGTGCCTAAACTAAACAGAAGCTTTGAGGGATCATGCTTTCTCTGTGGCAGCCCCAAAAATGAGGAAAGGCCTTCCAATACAGATTAAAAAGTCTCTGAATGATTTTAAATCGATTCTAATAACTCATCTTTTTGCCTTGTCTTTATAGGTCTTTGATGCTTTTATGTATTGTAAGGGCTTTATGTTGTTTCACCATAGAGCACTTTGGTCCCTCAAGAAATATTAAAGTGCTTTATAAATAAAGCTATAAAATCAAAAAAGGTGAATAATACAAACTGCAGTACCAAGCACTCAGCTGCTGTGGAACAAACACTATTCCCCATACAATGTTCCAACAAATCCCAGGAGGCCATCATTAAAAAATTTAGTCTGCAGTTATTCTGTGGGAAGAGGAAAATGTGTGGTTCGAGCAGAAACTTGACTAAATACAAAATATACAGAAATAATGCTTTTTTTTAAGGCTATAATGATTTGATTGGTAATCCTTTCCAGGCTTAAGAGTTCAGAGCAATATAATGTTACAAGAAGGCTGAAAGACATACAGAGCTCTTTTGTCAGTGGCTAAGAGGACAAACCTGTTTCTCTCGATTTAAACTCACCCAGCCAGCTCTGTGTATTTTCTCAACACAGCAGCTAAAGTTTCACTAGAACTCTTTACCTATTGTAATGATCTGGACCATCAATTGTACAAAGTCTACCCCTCACACCCTGAAAGTAAAGTAGCCATGCCTTGTCCTCGCAGCTGGAACCACTCATCTTTTGAGATCTGATGGGGAAGTGAACAGCATGGGGGGAAGGGCTGAATGAGTAAGGGTCTATTTGATGTCCTTTAATCCTCAGAATCAAAGCATAAACATGGCCCAATAACAGCAACCAAGTGAGCCTGACCTCTTGTCCTTTTTCTGCTGGTTTTTATAATAACAGAATTGGTTTCAGTAGATAAAGCTAAGGCACATACAAAAAAAGGAGGAAAATAAACTTACAGTTTACTTATTACCATTCTCTATTTAAACAAATATTATCCCAGTGATGCAGCTGAAGCATCACTTGGGATTTTTAGGGGCAGTAGGGCGAGTTGACTCAAGTTAATCAGAAACTTATATTAAAAAAGGGCACAAACGAGTATTATTTATAATGCATGCCCTGCTTTAAAATAGCATCTTTTTTGTGCACAAAAACTTTTGCGGTTAAATCTAAAACTTTACCATCTTAATTGGTTTATGTCGAAGGTCTGCCTCCGTCACTGTTGCTCCGTGATCTTTGGCGACTACTCCTCGTTGAGAGAGTTGGTGCAGCAGGGTGACGTTGTCTTTGGGCTGCGCCTCAGATCCAGCACTTCCAACTATAATGCTGTAGATGCGACAATATAACTCTGAGGACTGGAGCAGGCGTGTGACTGGTGGTTTTAAATGCTCCTGTTCATATTGATCACAGTAGAAGGGGTCACGCAGTTCTGCAGGGACATTTTCTGTAAACGAAGGAAAACAGATTATGATTAGACTATTAGCATAGTAAAACCATTACTTAGTAACAGTCATTGTTGGTAAAGGTCATGCAAAAATCAAAAAAACAATGATGACACATCACTAGTAAAACAAAAACATTTGGATAACCCAAGTAGTCATTTAACAATTTGCGAAAAATAATTTAAAAAAGCTCAAACCAATGCGACTGCAATGTTAACAGGAAATTGTATAATCTGTGGAGGTGAAGTTATGGAGGAACTGTTGAAAATATAAAACGAAAAAGAGAAAACTGAAGATCCTGTTTGACTGGGAAACACCTTAAGGAAGATTCAACCACACCTGCACACAACGCAGATCCTGAACTCAAAAAAAAAAAAAAAAAAAAAAAAAAAAACACAAGCCAGAGGAATTTTGAAAAAAGCAATTACATTAAAACAGCAAAACTACAATTTGACAAGTGGCAGAAAGAACATTCATTTCAATCAGAAACATACAAAAAAATGCATCAAAAGATATAGGAAAAAATGTAATAAGTGATAAAATATTTATAAAACGGTGTGATCCTGCACACCAAATCATATTGGGAGGCTTTAGCCATGACAATCAAACATCTGAATCAAAAAGCAGCTCACAGATACTCCAAAAATAAAGCAACTTTAGAGAAATACGGGTGGAAAAATGTACCTTCAACCGAAATTAATAACTCTTAATAAAAGCATATCCTAAATATCCAGTAAAATTTTATTGGTTATAACCACTTAGAGAAAAAAAATCCTTCTAAATATAACAGCATCAAAAAGTTAAATTAATTGTGTTAATAATTTTATTTTACTATGATTAGAAACTAAGGAAGAAAATCTAATTATTCCAAAAGATTTTAATCTGAACAGTTAAAAAAAATCTAAAATAAACGCATGCTTGGCATCGTTTTTTTGTTTTTGTTTGTTTGTTTTGTTTTTTTCAGTTTCACTCAATAACAAAACAAAACTTCTAGAAATCTTTTCTTAAAATGAGTCATCAATTGGAAATCTGACGTTTTCAAGAAAAAGAAAATGTGTTGTATCCACTTAAAGTTAAAAAACAGACATTAGCCTGCCGTGCATTCATCTCATCTCTAGTCCACCAAGATGGGCATTACTAAGAGTCTGGCGGTTGTTAAGTGTTTCTCCTTCTGTAACGTTTTACTTATTGGGAGAGAGACCAGGAATCAATGGTAATGGTTAATGTTGCTACTGCTATATTCACATGTGCTCTCATACACAGAAGCAAAATGTTAATGGGTACCCTGGCAAGGTGGCAGGTTTACATTTTTATTTTCTCCTTAGGATGATTAAAAAAATAATTTAATCACAATTTCAGAAGGATTGCATATAGAAAATAAAAGGTTAGGACTCCTTTAAAACACTACTGATATTGTGCCTAATTCTTAATGCCAAGAAGAACACAAAGATGGTAGCTACTTCAGTTTTAAAAGTTGCCTTCTAGCTGGTTAATCCTGTCGTTTATACCCTAGTGGCAGAATGATCTCTAGAATCAGTTCACTTTTTGTTGCAAAAAAAAATTTTAAAATTAAGATACTACTATTCCCAGCAGCTAAGATAATTTAAATTTCTGTTATTTCTAGTGCTAAACATTAAGAGTTATTGTGCGTTTCTGAGATATCTCTTGTCTGCAGGTCAATCCCAGGCAGCTATTGGGATCCATCTTCCAGGCACAATCCTGTCAGACGTACAAAACCTCCCACTGAAATAACATAGAAGAATAGAAAAAAGTAACAATTTATTTCAGTCTCATTCCTGTTTCTGAATATTATTTCAATGCAAAACTGAAATTTTAAATTTCTGATTCACTTGCAAGATACATGTAATGTACCAAGAGTTGGTTTAGTTTTCCCTTCTTAATCTAAAAAAGGTAATATTTTTCTTGATTTTGTGTGGTGAAAGTTTTTTTTTTATTTTTTTATAATCAATGAGTATTATTAAAAAACAACCAACAGAATACTGCAAATAATGCTTTTGAACTGTATGCGGCACACCCACAAAGAAAACCAGTTTTCAAGTGAAACCATCAATGTGTGTCTACATAAATGTCTTGCACTTTAAAAGGGTATTCAGAAAGTAAAACTAAAGCACAAATTAATTTTTAACCTTTAAGCCTAAAACTGATCATCACTTAATATAATCAATAATGCTAAAGCTAAACTTCCATAAGCACTTACATTAAAGCTGTAAATAACAGTAAAATATTAATGAGTTTATACTAAAAAACAAAAACAAAAAAAGTCCCAAAATAATGTGCTAAAAATCTCCCCTGGAAGGCAAAGCAGTTGCAAATGGCACAACTCAGAGATGAGAAAGACTGATATGAGAGTAATTTCCTTATGTGACTTACCATGAACAAAGACTTAGTTCACACATTAAACATAAACCCATGTAGAGCTTTCAAGTAACAGGTCCATACAGAACTGCTCATAAATATATATCTATAAACCAGAAGTAATAGTAACAAAACAAGTGGAAAGTTATGAAAAACTGTTTTGTGTGTCTTATTTTAATGAAAAAGACATGAAACAAAAACATAAAAATTGAATATTACTCCTAATTTATTTGCTGAAATTAAGGCAAGAACCTCTTTTTTTTTTTCTTTTTTTTTTACAGGTCATGGAGTCAGTGCTTTATCAGTTGGTTAGACTGAGGAGTCAAAAGTCAAAACGTGTGCAAAGTTTATTGACTCAGTACCACAGGCGTATCACTCCTAACAAAAATAGATGAGCAACTTTTCATCCGTGAAAGAAACCTCTTATTATCCAGAACAGGAGCTAAAATAAAGCAGCTGAGCAGATATGCAGAACTTTTTTAAAATGCAAAACTGGATAAAGTTATAGGAAATGTAGAGGAACTGACAGTTTACAAGCTACAGTCTTTGCAGTGTTAGTTGGTATTTAACCTGACATGCAGTTAGATAACAGGAGACGTGTCCCCTTTCATTGACTGAGCTACTATAAAGACTGGGTCATAGAACATCAACGCATACCTCAAAGTGGACACAGCACACAGCTAATTGTGCTTTTATAAAATATTGGCACTCAGGAAATGCTTAAAGTAATGTTCCTCAGAATTTAAGTTTTTATAGAACGACCAGCTTTGGCATTTTACCCTAAAAAACTAAAAAATAAAGTTGAGCCTACTGCAAGATAATATCTCTATAAGCGCCAGGAAATCTGCTATTTAGTAAATAATTTAGTGCCATTCAATATATTCCTGCTTGTTGTTTTAAAACGTCTTCATCATGTGGATGAAAAGATCAAACAAATATGATTATCCATTTTCTAGAACAAAGCAGGTACTGTTCTGCTGTCCCAAAAACCTAGCTTTAGGCAAAAGAGTAATGTTAGGAGTCCACACTCCAAGTAACCGATTAAACACCAAAGATAACTTCATTTATTTAATTTCAGAGGGCTTTAGATTATAGTACACACAGGTTTGCACTTCACTATCAATGTGCAACAACTGGGTCTGTCAGTTTTATTTTACCTGTTCTTGGTAAAAGGGTAAAGCAGAGCAGACAGAGATCAAATATTGATCACAATCTGATTGAAAGATAAATCACACGGAATAAAAAAAACAAACATGAGAAGCATGTTGTCTTCACATGCCCACAAAGATCCACTTACCATAAACATGCTATCCCTGAAAGCCCTTTGTATCCTGTAACATTAACACAGGCACTGCTGCACACAAGGCTTAATTGCATTAAAGGGCCGGTGTACACTGAACAACGTCCTATAGAGTGAAAGTGATTACATTACGACTCCTTCTGAAGCAAACAGGACAACACTAGAGAAGTACGTAATTTGAAGAGATGTATGGAGCAAACTAAATGTCTGGACTCACTTATTTAAAGCATACACAGACCTTTAATAAATAGAGCGTTTTTCAGATATAAACAAACCAAAAATACATTTTTACATAAGATCTTTGCAACATTTTTAACACATGTGTCTAGGAGTTAAGAAAATGATTAACAGGAAAAATAAGAGTCTAAAAAGGGTTTAAGTACAAAAGGATTTGCTTTCTATAGTTGATATAATGGTTTTAAAATGGGATTACATCAGAAAAAAATGGCTTTATGAATTGGAAAAGGACGAAAACGACCTGGTGCCACGGAAAAATAAATTACAGTTTAGCAATTGTGTCCAAGGATTTGTCCTAAAAGATATCACCTTGTACACAATTTAAACTGACCGAACACCAACAACAAACTACCCGCATTGTATTTCAACTGGACCATAACAACAACACGGGCTGTTTCTTTGCAGGATTACAAGCAAACTTATGTCCCGTTTTCTCTTTTTAGTAAACCCTGGTTTTATCTAACAGCAGTAAAGGAAAGACATAACACAGACACTGTTTAAAAAAGAAAAATCACAAAACTGAAAACCAAGGATTTCTTTTAAAAACAAGCCTCCTCCTAGCCTAAGCAGGTATATCGTGAGCTTCATTCTGCTTAATGGAATACGGTAGCTTGAGTCACCCTCAGATGACTCAATCTTTTTTTTTTTTTTTTTTTTCATTCCAACTTCCAAGGTGAATCCAGTGTCCTGTTAACCATTTTAAATATAATTGATATACGTTACAATCTTCTATGGAGACAAACCACAACTCTGCTTCTCCCTTTATAAAGTTGGGCTAAGGCAACAATTGGAACTTAAGTTCATTATTTTAGCTTTAGAGTGATTTCCTTCAATGCTATAGACATAAATTATTATTAATGCTGCTTGCTGTCCTATTTCATAAATCTTTATCCTTTTTTTTTCATGCCAATGATAAATACTTTAATTTAGCCCCTTAAGCAGATTATTGTGACTAAACAAGATATTTTTGGGAGCTTATAGATGACATACATTTGATTATATCATGCATAACCTTTCCTATTTTAGGTCTGTGAACACTTTGCTCAATTAAAACTACATAATAATCCTAACCTATTGTTTTAGGTTTTGATTAATTTAACTACCCTTGAAAAGTCAATGCGGCCTAGCCTGGCTCCTCCTGGGCTATCTGTCCTTACCAGCTGAATTCCTGGGAAAGGACTTGATGATGTCATCCTGCATTTGCATGACTCTATCAGCAAGGCCATTGAGTTGATTAAGACAGAAACTAAGCCTGATCAGTGTTTGTTGTCATATCCCTGTGGCTTGGCATTAGTTTAACCATAGGGTGAGGCTGAGGTGCTAAACTGAGTACACAAAGGTGGCAACAGCCTGGAGTCCTAAACCTATGACCTGTGAGGGATTTTGTAACACAAAAGTTCAATTGCTGAAGAAGGAAAACAGAATACTGGCAGAATAAGCAAGATTTGTTATCTGGACAAGCATTTTGTGATTAAATCACCTTGACTAGTGAGAGTTCCTCTTGTAATATTCAGTCAACTAGAACAAACAGGGCACAGAAGACTAGTTTGCATCATAGCAGTACAACATTTCAACATGTCAGTAGAGCTGATCGTATAAATTGTCTAGTTTTACACTGATATAATCCAAGTTATGTGAACCAAATAAGGAAAAAAAAGTATTTTGTATAAACTACTTTAAACTGGACAATTTTTTGCTGTGGTTAGATTGTCAATCATGAATTTATGTTACTAAACAAACTGGAAGGAGGTGTCAAAGTACCATAGAGGAGAGAAGAACATTATTACTAAATGTATTTATCCCATTTCTATCTACTGGTAAAATTTACAGGAGAATTACAGTTAAGTCTGTCTGCTGTTAACCGTTATTGTTGCAGATTAAATAATAATAAAGCTATATATAAGACTATTTTAAGAAATAAATGTTTAGGGTTTATGTGCAGCCTGTCATTTCAGACCTCAGGCTGGTGTTAGGACAGAGGGGTTAGCTTGATAAGGGAGGCCTAAAAGAGGAGGCCCGTTTCTCTGACATACATACCCATAGAGACAGAACAAATTACATGTGTCACTGTCCAGAAATGCACACAGTGCTAGGGTCCTCCTTTCTCATGCGCCTCTTTGTGCTAAAATCTCAGAACAATACAAACACTGCAGCTGCTTTCCGTGCGTGAGGTTTTCAGTAATATAATGTAAACACATTACCAGACGACAAAAGAACAAGGGTCCCGATTCAAGCACGGTTTTAATCCTAACGGTTGGAACAAAAACCCACCTGAGCTCCCGTAGGACTTCGCCAGCAGCCATCCTACACTTGCGCATATTTTGGATCTGCTGCAGTCATACAGATCCAGCGGCTTTATGTCTGGGACCACAAAAGTCTTCCTCTTAGTGGGGGAGTCCACCATAGCGGCACTGTTAAAATAACCCAAAAAATCCCAAGCGATGCTGGCGAAAGGTGAAGGAGACTGGATAAAAATGCTCAGGCAACCATTCTTTTAGTTGAGTTGTATTCCACACGACCGCAGGGCTGGGAATACGGATGTGGTTTCAGGTTTTCCTCGGGAAATATCCGCCCAGGTTTTGCTTCCAAGCGAGCTAACGTCCTCTTCAACGTCCTCTCGAGGACGAAATATCCGCTTCTTTATACTTTACAAGCTATTAAAGCTTAGATACGTTGATATGTTACAGAAAGCCGGACTATTCCCCCCTTGTATCAGCCTCTCTTCGTCCGCATTGCTGTGTTTGTCAGTCCACTGTACACAGCTCCACTTTAGTCCAGTCGATGAGTGACTACCAGGTGCTCCATACTGGTGTCACTCGCGGATACCACAGACCAATAGAAATTGAGCATTCGCAATGAGGGCGGGGCCTGCGCGTGAGAGCAGACAGCAGGTAGAGGTGTGGTAGCAGGTTTGCTACAGGTGCATCTGGCATGTGGATGAATCCCTGAGGGGACAGCATTCAGTTGCTTTAAACTGAAAGCGATTTCTAAACTCAACTTGAGCTATCCGTCTACAACAATATTAATAAAAACTGAATATAAATTTATCATAACATTAAAGTGCAAAAAACATGCTATTAGTAATCAACTTGCAAACACCTTCTTGGGCAAAACTAAATATGGTTGCTGGTTGCACCATGAATGTGATCAGTTTTTTTTTTTTTTTTTGGCAATGTGTTACTCAATGATAGACTTATTCTAGATCTGCAAAATAAATATAGTGATTTAGGTTCAAATTGACTCAACAAAACCTAGGCATACTGCAGTTTATTTTATTTTTAACCAATACTTAAAAATGTATTAAAATTGTAACAGAGATAAAGACTAAAGTAAGTTATATCATCAGCTGTTACCTTCTTTTAGACAAAATATTTAAAAGGCATCCAATTCATATAGAATATCAGAGTAATCTAAGCCTTACAAGAGAAAATTGCACTACTGAAGTCATGAAAACCGGCTCAGAACTTGTTTATCTACAACATTAAGCCCCTTCTCTAAAGCAGCTCCCACTGCCCTATTTGTTTATTTTTCATTCACCTAAAAAAGTACTCCTGGATCAGTTATGTGCTTTTCCTTTTAAATATATGCCTCATCTATTCAAATCCCATTCAATCACTGTCCATACAAAACCTGGTTTCTTCTGACTAAACAACTGTTTTCCTTTTAACTGTCACTACATGCATGGTCAGTGTGAGGGATTGCTGGTAAGTCAATAATGCAATGCAAGGGACTGTTTTCTGTCACTACATTCTACCCAGGAGAAAATTCTGCAAGATAATGATTCATTGCAGTCTGCTAGGTTGCCCTTTTTATAAAGAAAAAAAAACTATCCAATTTGAATAAAAACTAATTGCATAAGGTTTCATCAAAATATGTATACTGAGAATTAGTATGTTGTGTCAATTGAAACATAGATTCCAATTGACAGGTAGTGATAATCGGTGCTGCAAAAATAAAATGAAAATGAAACCTTATGTACTTCTATGTCAGGCAATGCAGGCAAACCTATTCTCTGCTTCTGATTAATTTGATTCTGAAGTGAGGACTAGCGGTTTTCCACAGAAGTGATTTCCTGCATCAACTACAACCTTGGTGAGCAGCACAGTAACTTTGAAAAGGGATCATCTTTGAACTAATTAATTAAAGAAACAATTATTTCAAATAAGTTATCTTTTTGCTGGTTAGTTTTAGCCTGACAATGTATATTACAACCAATATATAAAGCAATTCTGCTTACAAAATATTCACAAGATCATTCTATAGCATTATTACTCTACATCTACATGAAAATGAAAGAAATGACTTAATATATGACACAAGAGAATGTATCTCCATTCCTGAATATACTTACTGTTTGCAATTTTATGCAATTCAAGTACAAATGATTTAATGCACAAAAGAAACTCCGGCTTAAGCTGCACATTTGAGAAGGTAAAACTAATCAAGTTTTTTACTTTTTGGAAATGCTTTAAATTACCAGTTGTACCATTCTAGACAATACAGGTATAGTGAAAGATGTTCTTTTTCTGGGTGGCTCATTAAAATAAGCAGTCCTAACTGTCAATCATTCTTGTGATATGTATTCTTGTGATACGTTTACGCACGACCGTTCTACATGCTCATCCTCATTTTTACATACAGGCGATGAGTCTGACATAGCGGAAAAATTGCAAATTTTCTTTTGCAAAGTAAGCTTGTATGAGCGATGCAAACAGCAACTTTTAAAAAGAGCATGCATGGGGAGAAATGGGTTTGTGCATGCTCTCGCACCCGTTTAATAGGCGTTACTTCTCAGGAGCGGGTACAGGGTTGTGCATGTGCATTCCTTCTAAAAGTGGAGAGGTCTTTTAAAAAAAAATCTGAAAAAAAATCCTCCACTATACCTTTAATTAAAACCTTTAATGATTCACCCAGAAATGTTTCTGTCTGATGAAACAATCCCCCTTCCCTCTTTTGTGACATTACTTCCAGTCATAAAAAGCCAAAATTTTGTTTTGAATATTTATTTTCAAGAATCTTTTTTTACAGAATACAGACTCCATGGATAATATTTAAGTGTAAGCAAACATCCAACCGTAAAAAAGGGTATTTTATGTAAAATGTATCCTAAATGAGTGAATTACTGACATCATGTGATCAAAATAGATCCATCTCTTTAACAAAAAAAACAAAAAACTAAGCTGTAATAGGAAAATACTTATACTAATTCTTAAGGCCGACTGTATCACTCTATAAAACAGTTGACACATCTAAACATTTATCCTAATTAAAATGATGTCACCACTGAAGTGTTACAGAAGTCTGGATCTTTGCAAAATGTAACAAGTTATTTTTCAGTCCTCTTTAAGACCTCCAAAAACTGCGGTTGGAACACTCTTCTGCTCAAGCTGCACTTCTGTAAAGGCAAAAAAAAAAAACAATTGCAATTAAATTATGCAAAACTGTCCTGGAAATGCCTATATATGCAAATGTTTTTCCCTAATTATAACCTATATCACACTAACCGTCCGGTCCTTGGTCTTCATCATCTTCATCATCATCCTCATCGATGTTAATCTCATCAGGATTGGCTTGTTTGGAAAGCTCAGCCAACTCACTTCGTGACGTGTCACTCCTAAGCAAACAGATAAGCAAAACAATGATCTATTGAAAGTAATAGGCTTCATGAAAGTCATAAATAGAATCTGTTCAAGATTTCTAAGTATTCATCAGCAAGAATAGGAACCACAAACCTGACGAAAAGAATTTTCTCTTTTGGTTTGGGTTTGTCCTGCTCAGCCTCTGCAGCAAGTTGCTGAGCTTTTTGCTCCAACATTTTCATATCATCAATTCCCATCTGACCAGGAGCAAGATCTGAAACTGATATGAAATACGAAAAACACAAATGTATCAATTAAAACATTTCCTCTAATTTCCCTAATATGGACGACATAGAATGTAGGCACTAAATTTGAGTTCTATTTCATCCCTACTGACCGCCAGAGGGCGGTGCTGAAAGCACTGAATGTTCCCTTCGGGCATGCGCAGTTCGAGTAATTATACCAACAGAGTCACACCTGTGACACCGGATGACCACTCAGAAGCTATATAGCCTGGTGTCATCCTTTGCTCTGCTCCTTTTTTCTTCTCGCAAGCGGTTCGCTAACTTCCCCGTTGTCTGAAGCCCCTGTCTCTTGACCGGAGTTGCGGTTATTCTCCGCCCTCCTAGGGCTGCAACGGGTCGATTCTGAAGATTACGGAAGGTAAGTGAGTTGTTTGCTGGTGATGGTAGCGTCCGCGCCCCCTCTCCCGGCTCACGACTTTAGCTTTTTACCTACAGCTTCGTGCTGTTTTGTTCCGAACTGGTGACGGCAGCGTTTTCGCCCCTACTCCCAGTGTGAATAACTTCACTGCCGAAGTTATATACGGCTAACGTAGTTAGCTTCTTTAGTTTGTTGGTGTTATACCTGGTGACGGCAGCGGTTTTCGCCCCCTCTCCCAGTATATTCCCTACTTTTGCATCCTTTTTTTCACCGGTCTGCGCTGCTATAATTACTGACGGCCGCGGTTTTCGCCCCCTCTCCCAACCAAGTGTGGTCTACTTCGTTGCCGAAGTTGGAGACGGCTAACGTTGTTAGCCTTTTTTGGTTTGTTTGCAGCCTTCTTCATCGGTCTGCTTAATTATAAATGGTGACGGCAGCGTTTTCGCCCCCTCTCCCAATATCAACCTTTTTTTGCAGCCTTTTCGTTGGTCTGCTCTCTTAATTGGTGACGGCAGCGTTTATCGCTCCTACTCCCTACTTAAGTTGCCATACAGCTAACGTTGTTAGCTTTTTTTGTTTATTGCTTTTATACCTGGTGACGGTAGCGGTTCTCGCCCCCTCTCCCGGTATCGGCCGCCTTGTGTCCGCAGCCTCTCTTGTTTTATCCGCTATAATTGGTGACGGCAGCGTTGTTCGCTCCTACTTCCAACTTAAGTTTCCATACAGCTAACGTTGTTAGCTTTTTTGGTTTATTGGTTTTATAACTGGTGATGGTAGCGGTTCTCGCCCCCTCTCCCAGTATCGGCTGCCTTGTGCTCGCAGCCTCTTTCGTTTCTCTGCTGTAATTGTGACGGCTGCGTTTGCGCCCCCTCTCCCGATTTTCGATAACTTTCTGTTCTTTAAGCCTTGTTGGCCTTCGACATGGATGGCTCTCACAGCTGCATAGATTGTGGGGCTGCCCTGCAGGCAGAGGATGGCCACGACCTGTGCCCTACCTGCCTTGGACATGAGCACCTTTTGGAGGCGCTGTCTGAGAACCCCTGTATGAACTGCAGCTTTATGCCCATGCAGTGAGGGTGGCCCGGTTGGCCCAGTTGTGCCCCCAGGAGGGCTCGGACCTTCCGCCCTCTGGGCAGGTGGTTCCCCCCAAGCGTTCTAAGCGCCGTGGTGGGACCACAGCATCTGTGCCCCTCCCCCGGAGGAAGCGGGCCAAACCTGACCAGGGCCTGTCCACAAGGGTGGAGCAGTTGTCAGCAGAGCTGGCAGAGATGAAGTCCTTGTTGCAGACACGGCAATCTGATCCCTCGCTCCCAGTGGTTGGGCTCTCTTCCCCACCAATGCCCGAGCTGGTTGTAGAGGATGACGTTATCTCTCTGGCTGCCTCCGCTTCTCATTTTAGAGATGAGGAGGAGGCAGGGTCCTCTCAAGCCTCTGAGGCTGGTTCATTTTCATCTCAGAGTGCGGTTGGAGAGGCCGGTGACGGTTCCATGCGGGAGGTCATGTCTATGGCCCTGAAGCAGCTGCAGCTGGAACTCCCACAAGGAGAGGCATCCAGCTCTGGCAGTG